GTTCAATAGTTGTTAATGAATCAATTGATAATTCTTGAAGAAGATTTGAATCAACCATAACAGTATTTGACATTGAACTTGATGATGGATGACTTATACTTGACATACCATTTAATAGTGGATAATAATATTGATAACATTCATCTTCATTATCTAATTCACATGGACGGCCATAAGCAAATGCATCAGTTTGTTGAAGTGCTTGAGCTTCAATATAATCAATAGGAATAAAAACAATATAATCAACTAGAATTGGATCACTAGTTTTTAATGTTAATAAATATTCATTGTTTGGTGCAGCATCACTTGTTAAGAAACTACTACCAGTAACATATGTAGCTTGACGATCAGACTGTGGAAGATCGATATCAAATGTTTGTGGTGCAGCTGGTCCAGTTTCTCGTACTGGAGCAAAATTAATATTCATTTGAGGCATTTTATAATCTAAATTATTCATATTAACTGATGTTCCATTATATGTTTTATATCGAATTAAAAGTCTATAAGCTGTTGGTTTCATTAATTGTATATGTAATTGTACTTCAGATTGTAATGATGAATATCTAACATAACCTTTCCATGAATAATTTTCAAATTCATTTAAATCAAATTCATAACGAACTGGTGTTTGTTGTTTTGTTGTTACACTATCTTCAAGTTCATATTGTAAATGATGTAATGTTGGAAAATAATGTCCAATTGCTGGTTGATTACATTCACGACCAACAATTGATGGACGACAAACACATTGTCCTGTTTGTTTATCACATATACTATGTAATGAACCACCAAGTGAACATCGACATGGTTCACAACCAAATATATCATTACGTTTTAATGCATAATAACCATCAGTACATATATCACAACGTGTTGTAGAATTTTGTGTAGTTAATTTACATGGACATTGACCTGTAATTGAATCACAAGTATTCAAATGAGCTAATGTACCATCATCCGAACAATCACATGGTTCACATCCTAGTAAAAACAAAAAAAAATTTGTTCTTTTTTTCTTTTTCAAAAAAAAAATTTATTTAATTGAATTGTTTTTTTTTTTACCAAGTGGATTATTTGCTTTCATATTCCAAAAACCTTCTTTACAACGATCACATTGTCTTCCTTCAACATTTTGTTTACATAAACATAATACACCTGGAATATTATGTCGTCCACAACCAGGAAAATCATTTCGTACACCAGCTGGAACACATTTACATTCTTCACAATAAGGAAAATTAAATAATCCTTTAAAAAGAAAAGGCAATTTCTATTAAATCAGTCGGAAATTTTAAATACAAAGTTCATACCTGGTGCACATTCTTGACATTTTACACCAATAAAATTACTTTTACATACACATTGTCCTGTTGTTTGATCACAACTTAAGCCTAATGATCCATGCATATCACATGAACATGGAACACAATCCGGATAACGAAAATAACCTTTAAATAAATTTAGATTCATAGATTAAACAATAAAAACAAAAAATTGGTCCTCCTTTTTTACCAGGTGCACATTGATTACATTGTCGTCCACCAAAATTTGGCTTACAATGGCATTGACCACGTTGATCACATGCTAAAAAAGGAAATATAACATTAAACTATTATTAGATATTCCTTTCGGACGTCTAAGTTTTTGTTTCGGGAGTTTTCTAAAAGGTTTCTTTATTCATAAGTTTTTTCTGAGCATGCCTAGATTTTTTTTAAAAAATCGATTTACTCTTTATTAGGTACATGACGAGATACGAATATACAAATGAAGAAAACTCTCTTATAATCGAATGAGAAGTTCAAAACCCATTCCAAACGGTACACATCCGTCTTGAAAATCTCTAGATGATGATAAGATACAAATTTTTATTTCGGAACTTGATGAGATCTCTAGACAATCGCTTTTTAAGGATGCGATTTTTTGGAGTCCAATTGAGCTGAAAGTTTCACCATAGATGCGGTTTATATCGTGGCATCTATCCTGAAGTTTTCTGATTTTTTTTCTTGTATAGTTAGAGAAATATTAACTGATTAATCAATTGGTAGTCAGCTGGAAGAGCCAACATTTTTACACCTGTCTATGCTAAACGAACCCTTATAATGAATCAAAGTCAAATGAAAAGTGATCTGTCTCGTTTTACCTGAAATGACCCATATAATAAATACTCACGTAAGGAATGATCACCGAAACGAAACTCGCAAATATAGATGATGGAAAGGAACTCGATGGTCAGATACATAATCTTTTTGATACAATTTTTCAAAAAAAATTTATATGTTATTAAATCTCATAAGACTTTTCGAGAGGTGTAATATTTCATTCAACGAACCATCATAAACAACTCCAATTGGATCACAAGCACATGGTTCACATGTTGGATGATTAAAAAATCCAGGTGCACATAGTTCACATGTATGTCCAGTAAAATTTGCTTTGCATAAACAAACACCTGTGTCTTTATTACATACTTCTAGTGTTGAACCTAAATATCAATTAAATTAAACATATTTATTTTGAATCTTGTTTTTGTCTTCATTCTTACCATTATAATTACAAACACATGGTAAACATCCTGGATATCCAAAATGACCGTTTTTACATGTATTACATGTTCGATTTTGATAATTTAATCGACATGGACATTGACTTTTAATAGCAAAAAAATAAATAAATAAATCATTTTTTTTTTATTTTTGTCTTACCCAGTTTCAGCATCACATATATTTCCATCACTACCAGCTCGTTCACATTCACATGGAACACAACCAGCTTTAAAATTATAATAACCAGGTGCACAACGATCACAATAATCTCCTTCAAAATTCATTTTACATACACATCGACCAGAATCTGGTAAACATTTATGATCAGCTGTACCATTAATTGAACATAAACATGGTTTACATCCAGCAGCATAATCAAAATATCCAATAGCACATTCATCACATTCTAAACCAGTAAATTGTGGTTTACATTCACATATACCTGTACCTTCAGCACAAGCACCAGTTGATACTTTTAAATTACATTTACATGATTGACACATATCAATATCACTAACTTTACGTGTAAAATTTCGAAAATATCCACGTATACATCGTTCACAATTGATACCTTCTGTATGATGTTGACAATTAAGACAACGTCCACCACCTTCATATTTTCCATGTATATCAATACTTAATTTTTCTTTTTCAACTTTTTCATCATAAATACATTCAGTTGAATGTCCATAACATTGACATGGTTCACATTCAAATGCACCTTTAGTTGAATCACGTGATTGACGCCATTTTTTTTGTACATATGGTTCACAACATTCTTGACAATAATCACCACATGTATTATGACGACAACGACAAACCATTTTATTTGGAGTTTTTGAATGAGGTTTATCACATGATTCAGCATGACCTTAAAAACAAAAAAAAAAAAAAACAAAAATTTTGATGATTACAATTAATCTTTCTGATTTTTTTATTATAAATTCTCATAAACTAACCATTGCATTGACAATGTCCGCCAATACCAATATCTCTAATTGAATGAAAATATCGTCGTGTTACGGTTTTATCATGACTATCATGAATAATTGAATGAGAATGTAATGTTGTTGGTCGAAGTAATCTTATACGAACATTTGTTGCACGTGTCCATTGTTGTAATGTATCACTATAGGAAAAATTTTTTATATTTGGTCGATCATTGATTAATGATACAACCATTTCACCTCTAAAAATATTTTAAAGGAAAAAACAAACAATTGTTTTTTTTCTTATTATTAATCAAATAATAAGATAAAGATTTACCCTTCTAATGGTATTCGACTGGCATATTTTGTTTCACAAACAACATCATCATCTCGTGTAAATGAACGATTATATGATGGTTCAATTCCAAACATTGCACGACATTCAACATCACTAGCAAAATAATACCATGTTGAAAATGTTTTTCCATAATCAGTTGAACGTTCTAATGACCAAACAGCAGGTCGAGGTGAATTAGCCATACGAATATAAACATATGCTATATGATATTCTTGACCAAGATTTATTGTTATATTTACTTTTTGATATTCGAGACCTCGTGATAATGGTGGTGACTAGAAATAAGAATTATGAAACATGTTTTTTTTTTCTCTTCTAATTTCATTACCTGCCACCATCGATCAGTTCCATCAATTGTATAATTAACAATATGTTTTTTATCCGGTATATTATGATCACAATAATCACAATATTGACCATAGATTAAATTTGAATCTTTATAATCTTTTTCATAAGGTGATGAACCAGTTAATTTACAATATAATTCTTTTTTATATTTTGTTTTATTTGGATTATCTTTATCAATAAATTCACCACATGTTGATGTTGCTGATACAGTTATATGTTTTTCACGAGCAAGATTTAAATAAGGTGGTCTTAAATTTTCACCAAATGTAGTTGCAATAAGCCATCCAAGCAAGAGTAGAAGTTCGCGTACAGACATTGTTCAATCACACAAGTGAACGTTAATGTCTATGCTTTTACGATAACGCGTATATACCAAAAAGAACCTCAATGACCCGTATATATGACTATGCGCAAACCGTATATTGACCAACACAAAAAAGAAATAAGAACGATGGTGGTCGATAGTAAAAGAATATAAATGTGGCCGCGCTTCACTTATCGTTGAGAAAAAGAACTGTATGCGTATATGTATTTGCTTTTTTTTCTCCAAGAGATTGTACTTCGCTTGCTTTCTTTCTGCTCTTATTCACGATAATAGTAGACAAAAAAAAAAAAAAAGAAAAGAATGAACATATATTTGATTCAATCAAATGACCGATATATATATATATATATAATGATGCAACAGAGTTGATGGTGATATCACTATATGTTGATTAAACATTAAATATTTTAAAATTTTTAATAAGACAAAAAGAAGAAAAAAAACTAATCGCACGAACAGATAACACAACAATTTTACAGATAAGAAAAAAAGAAAAATCAATTTCTTTTCGGCATTAATATTAGTTTTTCATTAAGAAAACCAACAACATGAGTTCCTTGTTTTGATATTGAATGATTTACTGATGATATATTAGATTCATTAATATGTGATATATCTTGTCGATGTCTTGTTGATATCATTCCAGTTAATTCTTTTCGAGAATTTGATGATGATACTTTAAAAAAACATGAATAAAGTGAATAAAATTCACGTCGAAAACTTCGATTAATATAATTATAAATAACTGGATTAAACCATGCTGATAATGATGATATTAAATAACTAGGTATAAGTAAAAATCCATAAACAAAATTTGCTCCATCACGTGTATATAAAATTTCTTCATTATGTTCTAAATATAATTGAACAATTGTTAATGGTAACCATGATATAGTAAATAAAGCAGCTATACATATAAGTAATTTTCTACTACGATGAAAACGTCTTTTTGTATGTGATTGACTTTGTAAATAATGTTGTTGTTCAGTTAATTGAAATGAATTTCGATCATTTTGTTTTTCACGATTATTTGATATTTGACGAGAATAAGGTAATAAATGATTAGGTTTATCATCATTTGAAATTGTTGTTGATGATGTATCATTACAATTTTGTGGTAATTCATCTTGTTCTGTTATTTCATATGTCATATTTAATGATTTTGTTTTTATATATTTATTTAATTTATTTTTTTTTGTTTTCTTTGGATAATGATGTGTTTCATATGCACACATTCGTTTCATTCGTTTTTTAAGAAAACGACTTATTGAATAACAACTTACAGATACAAATAAAAATGGTACTAAATATTGTACAGTAATAACAAAATAAGAAAATACTCTCATATGTAAATCTGGTTCTAATACACAATAAAAAATTTTTTTCATTTGACATGGTTGTTTTATTTTATTATAATCAAATGAAATATTTGTTATATTATTATTATTATTATTTATTTTTGATGATGATAATAATAATAATGAATAATTATTAAACATATATGGTACAATTATTGGTCGATTAAATTCTTGTATTTCTCGTGAAATAAATTCTGGTAATGCAATAAATATTGATACAAGCCAAAGTAAAATTAATGTTAAAATTGTACAATGACGATGAAATTTTTGTTTATTAACAATAAAAAACCAACGTTCAACAGCTATAACAGCAACAGTAAATGTTGATACAAGTGCTGTTAATGTTGGAGTAAAATTAACAAATTTACAAAGAAATGAACCAAATACCCAATGTTCAAGTAAAGCAGCAGATAATGTCATTGGAATTGAAACACATAAAACAATTAAATCATTTAAACCTATGAAAAAAACAAAAAAACAAAAAAAAAATAATTAACATAATTTTTATTTAGAAAATAATATTTTTAATTTACATAAATTCATTAAAAATGTATTCGTTATTGAACGTAATTTTCTTTGTTGAAAAAATATAAGACATACACTTATATTACCAAATACACCAAAACAAAATGGTAATAAATAAATAACATATACAAGAATTGTAATATATAGAGAAAAACGAAGTTTTACTATTGGTATACTTGTTGAACTAGATTGATAATCTTGACCATCATTAAAACATCCATGAATAAGATTTGTTAGATTTAAATCCATATGTTACATTAAATTAGATACGTTAAAAATCTAAAGGGAACAAAAAAAAAAGAACAAAGACATATACTTACTACAAGCTTTGTCCCTTTATTTTTTTTTAACTACGCATCACAGACTAGCTTATATATAAATACTAATTTTTTTTTTGTCGAGGTGGAAGAATAAAATAATAAGAAAACAGGTGGATATATAATTAGCTTTGTTAGTTTTTTTTTTTTTTTTTGAATATTTTCCATCCGAAAGAACATTTTCAGTTTATTTACGTACTATTTTTATCTAATGAAAAAAAAAAAAGATTAGAGTAATTTTTATCAATTCATTTTTTAATTATTTATAATAAAAAAAAAAGTTTAATAATAATTCTAGATTTAAACAAAAAAAAACAGTTCTTAGTTTTTTCTCTAGATTGTATTTTAAAAGTAGAATTTAATTAAAAAGTTTTATAATGATTTGAAAACAAAAAACGATTACGTGACGATTATTTTTTCTTTATTATAAAATATTTATTATTAATGAACTTCAAAACAATCTTCGTTCTTCAATTTATATATATATATAATATTTTGACTTACTATCTACTCAATGTTAAATGTGTTCTATTTTTAAAAAAAACCAGATCTTGTTTTCTCTCTCTCTCTACATCTGAACAAATATTGAATTATGAGTATACATTGACTTTTCTAATTGCATGCAGACACTATGATTCAAAATGTATGTAATTTTAAAAATGACATTTCAATTAAAGTGTTCTGCAGATGATAATTTTTTTTGACATTTAATAGGACTGATGACACAAACAATAAAATAGACTAAATTGTTCTTCGTTCAACAATGTAAATATACGATTATAATATAATTTAATTCGAACAAACAAAAGTTCTGTCTATCAATCAAGTTTATTCTATAGAAATAATAATTTTAAACATTATCTTCTTTTTCTTTTATGTTATTCTATTTTTTAAATATATCTATAAAGTATAAATAAAAAAAAAATTTTACAATTGATTTAATTAAGAAATACTTAATTCATATTATATTGAAATGTAAAACAAGAAATTCTTTTTATATAGAATATACGTTCATATGAATTAATAGAAACAAAAAATATTACTTACTCAAAATAGAAAATATCTCAAATCATTGAAGCCTATAGTCTTCACACTAAAAAAAGTCATCTTGCATAGCCAATAGCACATTTACTCTCTAATTACTCTCATTTAACGACTTTTTGCATCGTATATTTTTTTTTTTAGAGAGTCTGAGGAACATTTATGATATTCAACAGACTGATTAAGAATTAACTAAAAGAAATACACACTTGTATGTTCAATTATTAGTTGTCAACAAATGTCATTCGAGAATAAACGATCAAACTATATTAAAAGTAACTGAAACACATGTGACATATCCACATCCGATTAGGAATGATAGGTCTATCATTATACAAAAATTGCTATCTTTGTATTCACGGTAGTATAAAAGAAACTTTCAGTTTTCTTTGTTTTTCTGTCTAAATAATCATAATTTTGTAAAAACATGTTCATGAAATATATGTCAACTAGTGACAAGACCAAACATCCGTTATACGGAAAACCAATGATCAAAGAAAGAAACATATCTTATTATAGTCTACTGGAAAAATATGAGAAGACAAACGAACACATATAGCAAACATCTTCTAACTGCATACTTTATAATAGGTCATAAAAAAAGAAATTGTTCTGTTGAAATTTGACATCATATCGTTTTACCTATATATCTAACATGACAATAATATTCACTATAAAAACTTGTCTTTATAATTCAATTTAACTAGTTCATCTTTATTTTTTTATGTCAAAATTTTCTTTTCTGTAACTAGATTACTCAAAGTAAAAATAGCTCTACGTTAATTATCACTGATATGTAAACGAAGTAGATTCTTAATGTAATCACTATACATAGAGTATTAATTTCTCTAAAACATTCTATTTCGATCTAGATAAATCATTTTAATTACAACTTAGAACCAGTAATCAATCTTTACTTAAAAACTAAATATCAAATTATAACGTATATGATTATTATGATGGATGAAAATGAATTTACTTGAAAATAATCAGTACTAGATTTTACTTTTGTTTTTTAGCTTCATATAAAAAATACGAATAGAACAAGCAAGCAATAGATTTAAAATTTTCAATTATAATAAAAGCTTACTATAAATATAGAAATAATAATAATAGTTGTTTGTTTACTTTTTCTGACAATAACAAATTGATATCATGAAAAGTAATCAGACTATTGACTATGTCTTCTTTCTAAATTCATACAATCTATACATTACGTATTATAATTATTCAACAAGATTTGTGTTCAATTTTATTCCGTTGACTTACGTGCTAGAAAAAAATTCAAATAGTGACTCGCGTAGACAAGATTCTGATCAACAAAAATATAAGGAAATCCGTTTTTCAAATATATGATCCCTAGAGAATCCTAGTTTTCCGGTAACTATAATGTGTAAAGTTTAATTTTGTTTAGACATCATAGAATTATAGAGTAAACAATTCTCTGGAAAAAAATGAGACATCTTCGAGGTCTCTACGGCTTTTTTTTTGACTGAGGTACAGCAATTTCATTTAAGAGCCTAAAGTGGTTTTTCTATAGGATAAAGTGCAAAAATGTCTTTCAGGAGCATCCGTAGTCGAACAATGCCGTAGAAAACTTAGTGACGTCGTATTTTATCACTCTACACAGCATAAACAAAATTACATTTACGCATTATATAAGTGCTAATAACTAATATTTTTGATTTCTCAGGAAATTTTATATTTATGAATTTGATAATCATTTTTTATTTCTTTTATTCTTATAACAAAGAATTTTGTTTACTCAAATCACTATTTAGATATATTCTAGTGCTTAAAATCTGTAGAAAAAAAGAAAAGATTGAAAACAAACCTTGAAAAAGTTCTTTTGATATTCGCTTTATATAGAAGGAACATCAATGATATACAAAAAAAAAAAAAAAAAAAAAAAAAAAACTCTCTTTTTCTTCTTTCCCTCACTTTTCGTCTCAATTATTACAACTTAAAGTAATCATCTTTGAGAAAAAAATTATATCATTTAAAAGAAGAAAAATGAAACGACGAATATTGTAATTCTATTTTTAGACTTATTTTAAGGCTATGAAAAATAATTGATTTTCTTATTTCAACAAAAAATAGATTCATCTTAATAGCGACGTCATTTTCATTATTTATTAATAGAATATGAATAACTAAATAGAGTATATAAGATCTATGACATTATCAAACATCTTAAAATAATTTTCATTTTGTCCTTCAACTAAATAAAAAGTACGATGAATAAGAATACTTGTTGCGCTCTATAATATCACTTTAGAAGTAAACAAAATAGACAACTGACGAATGATGTATATTCTTTCTATAACAATTAAAATATGCCTCGAGATATGGATTACTAATCTTAGAAAAAACAAAATCCTGTAGATTGTTTTATAAATTAAAACAAAAAGTCAAGTTGAGATAATTAATATTCTTTTTTTCTTGTGTATTATCTAAAAACGATTTTTAAATCTTTTAGAATTAAAATATTCTATAATAGTCTTATAGTGCTGATAAAAAAAGCTTCTTATTTCATATATATATATATATATGGAAATTTTTTTAAGATATAAAAATATCGTTAATAGCAAAAAATTTATTAGAAATATTAATATTTATCATTGCAGCTTTATAATCTTTCTGTTTTTAAATACTTAAACATGACTTTTAAGATTTTATGTCTTTTTCTTTTATATATATAGACACTCTCCAATTATTTTTAAATGTTACCATAATACCCTGAAAACAACATGTTTTTTCCTAGATGTATAATAGTTTTGTTGCATGTTGTATAATTTTCATTTTTTAAAACTACTTAAAATATCGATGACCTGAATCATTTCTTATCTGACTCAAGTCTCTATTAAGGTGAAATATTCTTTTTTTCTTAAATCATTAATTTGAAACTGAAATACTGGAAATAATTAAAAGATATTGTTTAGAAAAGTAGAAAAGTACACATTACCTAGGCACTTCAATAATTATTTCCTCATTTTCCCTGTTATCTACTTTTATATAATACTTTTCATCATTTACTCTATTTGTTCTATTTAAGAAAATACTCTAATATTAAATAAAAATATATTTTTAAAGTACAAAAAAAAATTAACAACCAGAGAAACATTATAATTTGTTTCAAAATGATATGGACGCGCTGTTAATGTTTCAGTACTAATATCAATGTTATTTTGTATGACCTGTCAGATAGTCCCTTTTTTTATATGTCGGTCTTAAGCATATAAAAAATTCTTCCCTTTCTTGTCATCTACAATGATAATTGCTTGATAATTTTTAACTTCTAGTAATTTTATGTCAGTTATTTGAAATCTGATTCACACTCTTAGCTAGTTATACAATCACTATTAATATTATGCTAGAACCATCTGATACGATAAATACAATTCCATTATATATATATATATATATATACAGTAGTGGACAACATTATAAGAACAAACTACTAGTTAGCTATTCTCTATTTATTACTTTCTTGGAAAAAAACATTCTATTGTAATTCACTCTCAAATATAGATTTTGACTTGTCCTTTCAGAATATACTATAGTATATTCTGAAAGAACAAGTCAAAATCTATATTTGAGAGTGAATTACAATAGAATATGTTTTTTTCCAAGAAAGTAATAAATAGAGAATAGCTAACTAATTTTGTCCACTACTGTATATTTTATGGAAATAATTCTTCAATGAATTTCAAATCTTATTTTTGTTTGTGAAAAGATTTCTATCAGATGAAATAAAAAATGGCATGTTTTATTTTCTGAATCTATTATCAAATAATTAGATATCATTTGCTGACTTCAACAAAAAAGAATTTCTGGAAAAAAGTTATGATTTTTTTTTCGCCATTTGTTCTGACTTTATAATGAATATTATATCATTTAGACATGTAAAATAAAATCAATAGTGATTGAATACTTTCTGTGGATAAAAAAAAATGCATTTCTCAAATAAGTTTATCATCATATAATCAAAATAATTAGGATAATTATTGAAAACTTGAAAGAAAAAATTTCGAATAAAATCTCTTCTCATTTTTTTTATTAGTTTACTTTGTTTATATAAATACTCTTATCAATAGTGGATTTTTCTTATGTCAACTTTCGAATTTTGCATTCAGAAGTCATGATTGCTTCTGTTTTTTTTTCTATTATATATTGTTTATATCACATGGTATATTATCACGCATTTATCTCTCATCTATCCCTGTATTATAAGCATAGTCTTCTTTTGTTTCTTTACAGTCTCTCACTCTATGATTACATAGGAGACATGCACACAAATCGGATTCGAATGAAAATATTTGCAATTTCATTTTCTGATGAGTAAGAAGAATAAATGTGTTTTCTTGATTAATGAATGCATCTATTAGGAAAAATAAATAAATCCATTACGACAATGAATTTAATGAATTATGTGAGTTGACATGTTTTATATTTGTCTAGTTGTGATGAAAATAAAATCTATTTTGTTCATCTTTTAGAAAGTCTTTCTTTGTTAGATAGAAACAAAAAACAAATATGCATTGTTATCTTTTTTTTTATGCTTGTTAATTTTAATAGAATTCTTTATTGTTCACATCATTACTTTATTCTTAGAAGTTTCATGAATAAAATATAAAGTACATTATAATATTGTCGGATTATTGTATTCATATACTAGAGTGCAAACTATTATTTGAAATTCTTTTGTTAAGCACATTGTTTTTTTGCTTCAAACTTCTGATAATAATCCAATGAAAAAAAGTCAGAGTAACACTTCAATGTTTATTATATTCTTCAATGATACAATTGAAAACAAATAAATTATAATCGCGGATTTATTTCATTGAAAAAAAGTTTCTTTTTTTTTTTCTTTAATATTCTTTCGTTATTCTCATGATGTATAGACAAATAATTAAAGACTTAATAGATTTACTTCATTGAAAATTTACGCCTATTACAAGCAAAATTTAGTTATCAATTTATATAATTAATGTCAAATGTTATTTTCGTTTTATCGTAATTCAACAGATTAAAAGTAAAATAAAACAAAGAATCCAGGTACTCATAAGAATTCGGTTATATTGACATGATGCATAGATATTAGAATCTAAAATTACCTTTTTTTTTCGCTTAACAGAAAAAAACTAAATAATTAATTATAAAATCTCTACTAATGTGCAGCTACTGATTATGAACATTTTTGCATGTTAATGAGACATACAAAAAATCTTGTTCGCACAGCATCTTTGGGGCTGAAATGTGAAATCCATATTGTATTATTTAGCTTTATTATACTAGTACAAAATACATTAAGTAAAAAATGTTTATCAGATTATAGTTGTTTTCTCAAGGATAATCGATCTTCGGAGAATTTATTTCTGCATTTCGAACAGTAATTTTTTCTATTTTTCGTTTGTCTTATTGCTATTCATTTTCGTATTTTGTTTTTCTATATTTTAATACTATAATTATTCTAATCATTTATTTAACTGGCAGCTAAGCTTGTTGTATATATCTATTATATCTACAACAGTTTTTATCATACTATTATATATCTCGATAAGCTCACCAGTACTGATATAGATCCTTTCCTAAAATTATAACTTGATCAGTTCACTTTTTTTTTTAATGTTAGCTGTTTAGCACAATCCCTGCAGAATTAAAATATGAAATACGATATAAATACTCTTGCTAATTACAGGGAGGTTATTTTATTCAATCTGTTTTGGGATATATTTTTTCATCATCCGTTTACCTAATCCTCTAGAAATACAATAAGGAACTATACTCTTCATATATTATAACAAGACGTTGTTGATATATACTCTGTGATCATATATCAATTAAGTGTGTCACGGCCTGTGACATGAAGGAAAAAGAGAGGGGGAAGTACTGGTAAGGCGTTCATCATTGTCTGCGATGTTTGTTTTGGAGAGCGGAGGATGAGTCCAAATTTCGATCCCTATACTTCAACACTTCTTTTAGATCATGTTCCACAAAAGCTACACTATTGAGAACATGCACAAAGGTATTCCAGTTATTCAAATTTCGAGAAAGATTTTAAAGTGTCTAAATCTTATCGTTAGTACCATTCAGCGTTTTTTTCCGTTGCTAAGGAACTCTAGGAAAGGAGTCTGATGCCGGTTGGTCTCGATAACTAAGATCGGTAATGGGAACGACAGGAGCCGCAAAACTTACTATTTTCTTCTAAAACAAAAAATTCTCTGTATGACTCTAGTAAAGTTCTACAAGTTTTCCAATACAATGAATAAACATTAAAATCTAATGTTAAATATTGTCTCGTACTCAAAATTCAGATTATTATCCATTAAAAGTTGAATGTTCATTATTTTTTTTTAGTTATAATAAATTCATAATTTTTTCTTAATTCAAATTATTCAATAGCAAAATATGATAATAAATCAATGCCCTGATTTCAGATGAAATGAAAAATTTATTTCAAAATTAATATTGAAATAAAAACAAAATAAATAATAAAATAATAATTTTCACACATGAATCACATAGCATGAAGAATTTAAGCTTTTTGTACGCATTTATCAAATCTTCTACGTCCTATTCAAGATATATTTGATAAATAAATAATATTGTAATATATAATCTGACTTGAACGTTGAATAATTATTGTTTCCTTGTATATGTATATATAAGTTTGATTTTTAAGAATCTAATAATTTATAAGAGAAAAGATAAAAATAAAATAAAATAAAATAAAAAATGAAACGTTTACCTGTTCGAACACGAGGATATGGATGATTAAGTAAATCTCGAGCTGATCGACGTTCTTCAAGATCAGATTTTAAACATAATTCAATAAATTCATATGCTTGTTTTTGATTTTTTAATTCATCTGGAATTGGTGGACCTTTTTTTGCTAATAATTGATTTTGTATATAGATTTGATCTTCAGGTGGACGTGTTACATTTGTCCATGGTAACTAAAATTATTAAACACGAATAAAAAGAAAAAAAGAAACTTCTAGTCCGAAAATTTACTTTGCCAGTTAACATTTCTATTATAGTACAACCAAGTGCCCATATATCAGATTTATGAACATATTCTGGTTCCGGCGGTTTAAAATCTAGTAGAAAGAATATCATTGTTAAGATATTTATATGAACTTCATGTATTTATATCAATATTTCAAACAATACAAGATGGCTCAAAAGTCACGCTACTGAAAAAAATTTGAATATCTCCATTATGGCTCGAGCAAACGAGCTGATTTTTTTGTCAATGATAGAGACATGTTCAAGTTTTATATCCATCAAGATATATCTAGGGAGAGAACCTTCGTTAAGTATCACCAGTGATCTTAACAAAAAAAAAAAATTTACGTTTTTTTACAGATAGGAAAAAAACGATATACTATGACGAAAGGACAGTTTATTAAGAAAACAAAAATGGACAATACTGTAGAGTAAATATTCAAATTGTTTGCCTTCTGTGTTAATACACATCTGACAACAATCAGCTACAGAACGACAGATTGCATGTGTTATCATTGAGTAATGTTTAAATCTTGTTCAATTAATGACTTAAGATGATTTATATCACGAGAATTTTGAGAATAGACATGATCTTTTATAATCTATCATAGTAAGAAATCACATGGAGTTAAATCTGAAGATCATAGTGATCATTTAACAGTTCCTCAACGACTAATCCAATGTAAGAATGTATCATCTAAATAATCTCGGGCAGTGTGAGATGCTGCGCCGTCTTACTGCCAGATCATTGTTATAGTAGAGCAGAAGGAGAAAAATATGAAGAGAAAATCTCTTGCGTGTTATTCACAAGTTTCTTTGATTGATTATATTTTTTCTTGATAAGCTATTCCTTCGTTATAATGTATTGTTTTTTTTTCCTATCTATAAAAAAGTAAAATTCTTTTGTTGAAACCATTGGTGATACTGAACAAAAGGTCTCTCTAGGTATGTCTTGATGGATATAAGAAGTTTATTGAATAGATTTATCCTACGTAGCATAATCAGTTGAAATATATATTGAATAAACAGTTCATAAACTCTTCTATTATTTTAATAATTATAATTCTATGATTTGTTTATAAAATGAAATTTTTCATTCATAACTTACATATAGTTCCTTTTTGTGTACTACGTGAATTACTAGCATCTGATGATGGTGATTCAAGTTCAAGTCGATGTGATAAATTAAAATCCTAAAATAAATTTTTTTCCTTTTTTTAAATAATAATTTTAATTAATTATCAATTTAACTTACACCTAATTTAACAATATAATTTCCATTTTCATTAGCAATAAATATATTATCACCTTTAACATCACAATGTACAATAAAATGTTCATGTAAAGCCATTAAAGCTTGTAAAAGTTGTTTAACAAATCCTCGAACATGTTCATTAACATCAAGTAAAGAATTTAAACGAATATTATTTGTATTTAAATCATCATCTTGATCACTTGAATCATTCCATAGAATAGTATTTTTTCTTTTTGTATGTGCACGTTTTTGAAATGAACGAATATCATTAAGAAATTCATTTACTGTTGATAAACAATATTCCATACAAATATAAATTGTTCTCTAAAATAATAAAAATTAATAATCAATAAAGAAAATTTTTTTTTGTTTTTTACTTTATATTTTTCAATACCAAAATATCGTACAATATTTGGATGATTAATTGACATAATCATATCAATTTCTTCTGCTATACGTCGAAGTTTTCCTGGATATGTATTTGGTAATGAACGTGATGTTATTGATGATAATTGTATTTCTTTCATACATACAATTGAACCATTTGAACAATTTATTGCACGAAATGCAACACCAGCACCACCTTGTCCAATACGTGTACCACGACGCCATGGAAAATCAATATTACGCATTTTTAATGATATAACAGGATCAGGAACAATACCATTTATTGTTGTTGTATTATTATATATATGACCAATTTGTTTACGTTCACGAAATTTTTTTTCTAAATCATTTTCAAGATTTTTTATTTTTTGTATAATACGTTCACGAGGTGTTGTAAATGTTGATGACATTAAATCATGATAACGACTACCACTTTCATTTCTTCGATGTCCACCTAAAAATAAAAATGAATTTATTAGAAAATAAAATTGAAGAAAAGAAAAATATTATTGTTTTTTTTTGTTAACTTGTATGTGAAGAATTACGTGATCGACTTAAATTTGATGATGTTGATGAAAAACTATTTGAACGACCTAGAAAAATAAAATGAAATGTTATTAAAATATAAAAAAAAAAAAAAAAAAATTGAATTATATTCAAAGCAATCAGATGATAATCAAATAAAGAAGATCTTTTATTAATGTTTTCTTTTTCTTACCACTGTTCAGTGTTTGAAAGGAACGATCACTTAGAAAATTAGTATCTTTTTAAGAAAGAACGAGAGAAGATTTCTCCGAATAATAAAATTCACGTAGAAATTTTACCTTTTGTTGTTATTGAATCATAATTAACTTTTACATTTCCATATAAAACATCAAAAGCAGCTGGCATTTCTTTAGTTAATTTTTTATAATCATCATCTGAAAGTAATTCTAAATGATTTGATTGTGCTAAAAAACGTAGAAAAAAAATTCCTGGTGAAATCCATCTTGGTCTAAATTTTTAATCAAAAAAACAAAAAAAAATATTTAAATATTTTTTTTTCAAATCAAAAAATTTCTTTTTTTTTTTACCGGAAGACTTTATTTCTAGTTGATCGTGTTTGTTGTAATGATGTATATTTAAATTTTTTTGTAACACATTTACACCATTCACAAAAAAATTCATTCATTGTACTAACAAATTTTTCAAATATTTCATCTTTTTCTGTTGATATTGTTAATATAAGTTCACATAAAATACGAAAAAGATCAAAACCAGAATTATAAATATATAAAACAAGATCAACTAATTTTGATTCAATTATACGTTCATCAAATTTAACAATTTCTGTAAGATAAATTTTTGTTGAATCTTGATCCCAAATTGTATTTAATTTACGTACGAGATCAGTTAATGTTGTACTTAATTTTTCAATATGTTCCTATGAAAAGAAATTTTGAAATTACAAAACTTATAAATACTTAGGACATATCAAAAGTAGTGGCAGTGACACTTTAATATCGCATAGTAGTCTTTAAGAAACTTTCTTTCTATATAGTCTGATTGAGAAAAAAACGCTCTTAATCTTTCTATGCTATTTGATCATACTTCAATTAATATCATAATATTGAATTTTCTATAAAACCTATATCGGTACGATATGTGCTAGTTGTACTAGATCACATTTTATTTTCAATATGTATTATCTACTTCTCTTTTCTGAATTAGCCATCGATATGTATGTATATATGTAGAGAGCGAGAGAGAGACGCGTGTTTCTTTAGTTTAATGTGTATGTTCAATTTATCAACGAGTTTTTAATAAAGTTAAAGAAATAAAGTTATGTAACATTTAACATTGTTCATCTTTGCTTCAGATGGATAAGGAAACTTTTCGATTTTACATCAAAGTGTGTACTGCACTTAATATTCAACCAACAATTATTCATAATGAAATATGTATTGTTCTTGGCGATGAGGCTCCTTCTTTTAGGACTGTTGCAAGATGATCTAAATGATTTCGTGAAGGTCGAGAAGAGATTGAAGATAAAGCACGACCTGGAAGACCTATTAGCGAGACCATATCTGAAAATATTGAGCAAGTTCACAACATTATCAATGATGGTCCTTATATTACAGTAGAACAACTGCAAGCGTAAACTGATCTTAATCATGGTACTATTCAACGAATAATCTCCAATCATCTGAACCTTAGTAAAATTACCGCTCGTTATATACACCTAGGCAGCTGACTGATTCTTAACGACCTGAACGAATTTGAATATACAAAGAAAATTTAGCAAAATGCGAATCAAGTGCATGACGATCATGTGATGTGGTGACAGATTACGAGTCCTGGCTCTATCACACACAGATTGGCCGAAAATCATCAAATTCTGCGTGAGTTGCGAGAGATGATTCTCCGTCTACAGCAGTTCGACAAAGCTATTTTTCTCCGAAAACCTTATTTAGCATCTTTTTTAAATCAACTGGTCCTGTTTTAATTTATTATATGAAACGAGAGCAAACTATCGACCATCAATATTACATTGATTATTGTTTAAAAACGCTCATTAACAACATCAGAAAGCAAAGATCTTCCTATAGTGTTCAAGGTATTAAACTTCATCACGACAATGGGCGACTACATGTTCATAAAGCTGTGTCGAATTATCTCGAATCTGAAGAGATCACAATAATTTCACATCCACCTAATTCGCCTGATTTATCATCATGTGACTTTTTGGTTATTTGACTAAATCTGACCGATCAGAACAATTCAGAATCGCTGTATCATGTTGTATCCAATTTTATGAACTCTTTAAATAAAGAAGAATATAGACAAACATTCGATAAATGGATTCAACAATTGCAATTGTGTATGGACAACAATAATGATTACTTCAAACATTTGATGACAAAAATAAATTGAAAAGAATAAAGAGAATAATAATAAGATGGTAAATATTGAAAATAAAATATGATCTACTACAACTAGCACATATCGTACCGATATAGGTTTTATAGAAAATTTAATATTATTATATTAATTGAAGTATGATCAAAAGAGCATAGAAAGATTAAGAGCATTTTTTTCTCAATCAGACTGTATAGAAAGAAAGTTTCTTAAAGATTACTGTACGGTATTAAAGTGTCACTGCCACTACTTTTAGTATGAACTAAGTACATACAGGTAATTGATCAAATGTTAAACGAATATCTTCATCACGTGGTAATTTTCTAATTAATTGAATATTAGTTAATCCAACATGTGAACGAAATAAATTAACAGCATTTTGCCAATGATCAGAACGATTAACAACCAAATGTAATGAACAAATTTCAATAGAATTTAATGCTAATTTTGTACTTTCACTTGGTTGAATAAGTAAAATATCTTTAGTCCATTGAAAATTTTGTCGACAAAAATTTTTCTTTGGTAAAAAAATCATATAGGATGGAAATGTTTCTTTCGTTGTTTTATTTATTTCATCTGATAATATTTTTTGAGAACATATAATACTTAATAATATTTCAACTTGATCTTTATCTGTTGATAACCAAGGTGGAACAAATACATAAAAATTATCAAAATCATCTGCATTCTAATTTTAAACAAGAAAATTTGTGTATGTATTTTTATATAAAAACATAATTATACTTACACTTCTATTCAAATGAATTTTAACTTGAGTATAAGAACATTTTAGAAGTTGTTGCCAGAAATCATGATAATTTACACATTTAAATTCAGCTGCTATTGCAAAATCCTTAACAGATAAAAGAAAAATTAATTGTAATAATTTATTAATGAACTTACAACAATGAGTGTTTTAGCTAATTGACAAACACGTGTTCCACGTTGTTTAATTGTATCAAAATCTCGACGAAATTCACGTGTACTAGAAATAATATCATTTCTAAATATGACAAAAAAAAAAAATTTAAGTAATCAACAAAATGAAATAGTTGTTCATTTTTTTTTTGTTAATTACTTCTTTTGATCAGAAAATGATGCTGATGAATCACATGATGATATTTCACTACGATATAAATCAGATGGAACACTATTTGATGTAACAAACGAAGGTGTTCTGGTTATTTCAAAAATGAAGCTATGAAATATAATAAACATGATGTTTTATAGATATGAATAAGTAATTTAAATCTTATGTTCGTTACAGTGAAATTTACTAAGTTTTGAGTTAGATCAATTTTCTATCAATCACATAAAGAATAAGTCTATCAATGATTAAATCCATTTTCTTAACTTTCAGCATTTGATGTACATTCTTTTTTTAAAATATCCTAGCAATAGATTTCAATAGGTTGTATGATAAGTGCGTGTGCGATGCATATCTCTGGAGGATACATTTAATTTGTTTTTCGATTATTTCTTCAAAACTTTCTTCTACACTCTCAAACTTATATCGTACGCTCATTAGAGTCCATCGGATCCGGGTCTGAAAATTTTGTTTCGATCGAGTTCGAATCCAGAAATTCTTGAATCTGATGGACTCTAACGATCATGTCATTTTATTCTATATTTTCAAAAGTTTTCAGTCATAAACGATGAGACATAATTGGTATATTTTTCTTGTCAATATAGACTATGAATATTGTATTATTGATGATAAAATAAATCAACTATTTCGATCAAATTCTAACGGAGATAATCAAACTTTTTGTTCCTAGTAAAGGGATTTTTTGAGAAATCGTTTAGATGCAACTCACTATTGTTCATTTCAGAGTTAATTTGACGTAGGCATTTTTCGAATAACTTCAATGTTATCGATCTCGAGATTTCGGCATTGTAAAGAATGATCTCTGAGCGTCTATTTGTATAACATTCGTTAGAGTCAAAAATGTTTTCCATGAGTGTTTGTACATCAATATGTTTTTCGTTCTCTATTTAACCTTAACCTATACCAAATTGTAGTTTGAGCTATTTTGTACAAGCGGTAAAATTATCACATTATAAAATGATCTCATTGAAGAAGAAGATCGAAAAGATACAACTCAGTTTAAGGTTAAACAGAGAATGAAAAACATATTGATGTACAGATAGTCATAGAAGATGGCATTGATCCAAATGAATGTTACACAGAGAGACACCTCAGAGCTCGCTCTTTACAATGCTGAAATCCTGAGCTCGATAACATTTAAAGTTATTCAAAAAATGTCCGAGTCCATTGAGCTCTGAAATGGATAATAGTCGAAGAATCAAGTAAAAACTTCGCTGGTTTTCACACCCGATCATAAATTTTCTTTTATTCATCTTGGGATAAAATGGTTTACAATCAATTTGAAAACAGTAAATGAGAACTATCTTGACATTAGTATTATCAATTAATGTCTATTAAGTATCAACAGAATAATACATTAAGACTGAAGAATATTTTCATTTGTTTCCTACAAAAATTCTATAGGAAAAAAAAGCGGAATCTTTTTCAATTAATTACTTATTTAATATTATTAACTTACTAAAAAGATTTTTTCTCTAATTCAAAAAAACTTAAAGAGAATATTGTTTTTTTCTTCTTCTTACTCAGTTGAATAAGTTCCATCACTAATATTCGATTTATCATTCATATCAATAGCAAATGCTTGATAATATTTTTCAGTTTTACCATTTAATTCTTCTTTCAATTGTGCTAATATTCGTTGTGTTAATGTACTAAAAATATTGCCAAGAAAAAAGAAACGAAAAGAAACAACAACAACATACATCAAAATGTTTTTTTACTCTCTCTCTCTGTCTCACCTAAAATCAATACATAAATCACGAATTTCTGTACGATTTTCTAATGTTACTGTTAAATCTCGAGCAAAATAATATTCTTTAATTAATTCTGATGTTTCTTCATCAACATAATAATATAAATCAGTATTTGTATCATTATTCATAATCATTGTATCATCATCAAGTGTACCAAATGATCGATTAATACAAACTGTACTTAAAAATTGTTTATAATGCTAAAATATCACGAATAAAACAAAATCTAATCATAAATAAAAGTATTTTGAAAAAAAAAACAAAAACAAACCGTATAAAGTTTAACTGTATTTTCATCGAATTCTGTAAGTTCACAAACAATTTGACGATGAGAAATAAATTGTTCCATCATACGTACACTATATAAACGAGTAGCTAATGTATCTCTATAAAAATTGAAAAAAATTTTATTAAAAATTTTTTTTTTTTATATCTTTGAACAAACCTTAAAACAAGTTTTGCTTCACGAACAAGCTGAAAAAAAAATGAAAGATAAATAAAAATAAAACAAAAAAAGGGAAATTCTTTTTTTTTTTTTGTTTTTACTTGTTGTCGACAAAGAGAATCTATTTCAATTGTATCATTATTCATATAAGGTTTATTATAAAGTATTAAACATTCATTCATAACATCAAGTAAAACATTAATAATAAAAAAATATAATGGTAATAATGATGGTAAACCTAATTGTTGATGTAATTCAAGCCAATTTTGTTTTAAAATATCTTCTGTATATGAACTTATTGTTTTAAGTGTTGAACATGATTTTAATATATGAAAAAGCCATTTTTCAATAGTAATTTCACCAATATTTAAATTTATTGTTGAGTCATTATCAACAGGATTATCTGTATCAACAAGTTTATCTTCAATATCATCATTATTTGTATTTATATTAGATACAAATTTATTTATATTTGATGATTGACAATCATGTAATGATAAACCAGCAAAAACTTGTTCAATTTTTAATTTACGTCGATCATTTGCTTGTAATAAAGCAAGACGAGTTTTAACAAGAACTGGTGCAACACGTTCAATTAATGTTCTTGCTAAACCATCATATTTAACTTGATAAGAACGTTTATCCATATAATAAACAAAATTTCTAAATAAATAAAAAGTATTCATATAAAAAGAAAATCAAAAGAACAAAAAAGATTTTACCGATAACAACCAATACGATTTAATTTTTTGATTTTAGGACTTGTTTCATTTTGATTTGATTCATCAGAAACTAAATTATTTCAACAAAAACAAAATTAAATTAAATAATTAAATAGAATACGAATTTAATTACTTTTAAGACGAGAGAAATAATCAAGTGGTTCATCAGGCCAACGAGTCTAAAAATAATAAACTTGGTATTTAAACTATTTGAATTTCTCAAGTTAGTTTGATTTTGAAGAAATATTTCTTTGTATTCCAAAAATCGCTTTTCAACAGAGACGGTATTCATTTAATAAGCACTAGAGAGTAGTACAAAAATCAACAAAGGTTTGCTTTTCGAGGTCTTCGTTCTGGAGATATTAAAATTTTACTGGGTTTTTCCTTTCCCTCAAGTCACATGATTTGCTTGGACGAAGTTCTCATTAAAATTAGTTCATTGTGGATATTTTGGCTTTTCTAATATTTTCTTTCTCAAGATGAATAAAATTTGCTTTTACACATCAGAAAATTTCGAATATTTGAATATCTCAGGATAAAAATTACTACTTGTTCAATGAACTAATCTCATTAAGAACTTTGCTAACGTAGAGCTTGAAGTCGAAAATCGATTTTTCATGTGACCTGAGCGGGAAGAAAAACCAAATCAAATTTCAATATCTCAAAAATGATGATCCCATTCTAAACTTTTCTATTACTCATCAAATGAACATCGTCTCGGTCGAAAATCGATTTGATATCTGGAAAGGTTCCCTTGTCCTGTGACACGACACTTCCGCACAAAACGAATTTTTTTCTTTCCTGTCTGTGTTAAGTTAATATTTTTTCTACACTTTCATTAACTGTTCTGTGGGGTTAGTTTGTGGATGTTGGTATAGGTGTACTCGTTCTCTTCATTCCATTCCAATGCGCTACACTCACAGAACAAGTAATGAAAATTTGGAAGAAATATTAACTTAACACGAAAAAAATTCATTTTGTACGGAACTGTCGATGAACTTCCGTGTTCGATTCGCGTAAGCCAATCTTAAATTAGAGATTAAGTATATTACATTCTATGCTGAAGTGTTAGTTCAGTTCAAAGAATGTATCGAAAAAAAATTAGAATAGAGAAATGTGAATGAGATTGAATCACTATTTATGTTAAAACAAAGTTAAAAAAAGTTAATTTATATCTCAATTGTGGACATGAGTTGAAAAGAACAAGTATATCCATGCTTATGCCCTACACCCTTGGTTGATTTTTTTATTTGTTTATGATAAGATATTGTATTTTTTTTTTGAAAATAAAATTTTATATACTATAATTAACTTTTGCTTGTATGCAATATGTTAGCTGATTTAAGATAGACCTAGGCAAATTTAAAATTCGCCTAAAACTTTCAGATGAATCTTAGAATGAACGCAAATATATGTGTAATACGATATTCTATAATATTCGCTACAGAACCTTAGTAAATTATCATGATTATCTCGAAGTTATCAAAATTGGGGTCGATGACTCAGGAGACCAATCGAAAGATTTTTTGCTAAAGTTGACAATATTTTAAAGGCGGTTTGAGCGTTTTTTTAGAACTGATGAACAAGAAAACGCTAGAGCATTTATCAAAATTAGGAAGAGGGGTCACCATCCTCTCACTTGGTATACTTCTGTAAATTATACTTTCATCATGAACTTTCGAAAATTTGAATTGTTTTTCAGTTCTAATGAATATATATATATATATTAATCAACAAGAACAAAACGTTATATAAAACCAGTTTTTTTATTTTTCTTATCGATTTATTTTTATTTTTAAACATACTTTTGGTAGAATATCACTTTCGTCACCATTTCCTAATTCGCTTTCTATTTCACTTTCTTCAGTTATATTTATTTCATCATCATTATCATTATCATTATCATTATCATTATCATTATCATCATATTCAGATTCATCACTTGATGAATAATAATCAGCATCAGTTGTAACTGCTCGTTTAGCTTTTCGTTCACGATTTGTTGTTATAGAACGAAAACGTAATTTTGGCCAATCTTCACAATCATCACAACGTAAAAGACCACTAATTTTTTTAACTGATATTGTTAATTCATAATAAAGATTATACCAAACAAAAAGTGCATCAAGTTGTCGATGAAATATTGCTAATGTATCATTTGTATAACCACTATCAACATGTTTTAAACAATAAAGTATATGTTGTTGATCAGCTGAATCAAATAATTCTTTTAAATCCTTTTCTGTTCGTTCACAATCAGTTAAATAATCTTTTGATAATGTACGAAAAAAACGTAATGGATGATCTTTATATGATATATCATCATCATTAACATCATATTTTGATTCAGTACTTGTGTAACGAGTGAATGGTGGTGATGATGTATTTGATGATTCATTACTAGCTATATGACCATCTAAATATGAAAATATAGTTATTATCGAATATTATTAGTGTGTTCTATTTGAGTTTAACAACTAATACTATCTGTAGTAAGAGCAGGTGTATGTTACAACCTCGTGATCTAAGACAAACAATCGTTAGTGACTTGTTCAGAGTTATTTTATAGCTGATGATATCGACGTTTGAACACAGAATCTATTGAATACGTACTGAACAACATGGTCACTCAGCCATTACTGTCATAGTCCTATTGAGACTAGAGAATGTTTAAAAGGATTTGTTTCTATGGGTCTATCTTCTTGAGTTATAATGATTTTAGTGAGTTTTTCAAGAAAATGTCATGATCCATCTCGAATCGTCTGCTATATTGATTATCGAGTTCAAACTTCGTACGAATGTAGTTATCAATAAGATTGGTTCATTGTGAAAGTATCGAATTTCTTATCCTGAAAAAATAAATATTAGAACAATATTTGTTTGTTTTCGTATAAAAAAATTTTAAATATTGACATCGAAGAATAGGAAATCCTAGATACTTTTACAATGAATTAATTCAATTCAGAATTTTATTTGTACAGAATTTGTACTCGAAATCAATGTAGAACGTGATTTGAGAGAAGCTACGATATTAAGTTGAAGAACTTATTAAAATAGTATTAGATCAAGAAGAAAGACCTATAGTGGCAAATCCCCTTTTAAATATTCTCTAGTCTCGAAGTAAGACTCATTCCAAAAGTAATTTATCAAATTGTGAGATTTCATCGTTAGTATTTTTTTTTCTTTTCAACTTCTAGTGTGATAATTACTGCCGATCTAATGTAATGATTCGTTTTAACATACCAAGATCATTATAGATTTAAGTCGATGTATTGATTGACGGCTGAAGTTTTACTTATTGACAAGAAACTAGACAAGAACATCACCGAAAAATGACTTTGAACGTAGGAGATTTTCAAAGATCAAATATTTTTTTGCGCACCGGCGGTGGCTCATCTAATCGCCTAACATCAACAGTTAGGGATGAGAGTTTGATGTTTGCGGAAATGCAATCGACGTTATCACAAGTCCAGGTCAGTTTTACTTATAAACGGACATATCGATATAAATGTAAGGATAATTTTTTTTATAAATTAAGAGATGGTATAAGTAATCTGGTGAATTTATGGTCCATGATAATGAATACCTAAGTGTTAAAGGATAGGCAACTGCTGATTGAAATACTATTTTTTTTTGGGGTGATGACTTGTATTCTCAGCAGATCGAATTGTAGTCAATGCAGAATCGATAGATACAGATTGGTTTTATTTCGTCATTCATCGTAATCGCGACTTAGTGTTAAAAATTAAAGAATCATAAGCGACTCGACCGGAATCAGATTGGTTAGAACAGTTGAACAGATCGATTCGTATCGATTTAAAAAACAGCTATCTCAAAACTATTACATAAACGAGACTTTTTCATTCAATATATTGATGTTGTCTCAGAGATCAGATTTGAGTTAATAATTTTTTTCACAAAAAAAGAGAATAGCTTCTTCTATAGAACAGAATCGGAAAAATTAAATTAACAATTGAAACGTAGAATCAATTTTCGGGTATATGACTCGAGTTTTTTTCGCGTCTGAGAATTTTTAGTTATACTAAATTTCGGAGAGTTTACACATTGAAACAATCAGAATATAATAATTCTTCTTGAAGAATTGCAAAACGAAAAAGACGAGTATTTTTTCTTAAAACATTGGTTTGAATCAATAAAAATAACTTAAAGATATCTTCCCCGTTTCGTGACCCAATAGTTTTTTGTAGCCATTCTATAGTCCGAAGTAGCATCTATCTACTAAGTATTTTCATGAAAAAAGAAGTACAGAAGCACGCTTGTTTCTTCGGTTTTGTATGCCCGACCAAACTGGAACTTTTTTCACATATACTATCAATGTGGGAGATGAGCATGTTTTTTTTTTGTTTCAAAAAATAGTGTTCTACTGACATACGCTATTTAGAGTAACTTCGATATTTATTCGAAGGACAAAAAATAAAAACATGTCCGCTCCAAACGGCATCTAGAGCCTATAAAAAAAACAAATTTCAGCTCGATCGAACATAGCACCTTCGAGAAACGGGTGAGCCAATCATCGCTATTGTGACCTCAGCATCTCATAGAAGACAGCGTACAAGAACTTTGAGTCTATGGTAACTTTTGTCCTATTCGTTAAGATTTATCTGCCCCTGAAAATTTCAATTTTTTCTGATGAACTTTTCGCCAGAAACTCTAGAAAGGAATACTTTTAATAAACTGGTTGGATTGTTTGTAAGTCAAAGGCACTATCATCTAAGATGAAATATAATTGAAGATAGTCATCTTCGACTAGTTCTTTCGAAACATTATGCATTTATTTTGGACTATCAATTTTTCTTCTCATCCAAAACAAAAAAAACCAATAGTTTAATCGATTTGTTTATGTCTAATTTAGTATTTTCTTGATTTTATTTTTGTTTTAGAATATACCTTTAATTATATCATCTTCACTTTCATCATATATATTTGGAAGATGCATTGCATCATTATTTGATATTAATAAATCTTTAACAGTATCACTTAAAAATCCATAATGCTGTGATCGTTTCATGTGAAAACTACTTATTAAATCGATAAAAGTTTTTATTTCAACTCTTGAACATCGTTGAGTCATGGGATTTTTTAGTGATAATTCATGTAAACGTGTATAAAGATAATCACGAATAGATGAATTTTGTGATGAATATTGTAAATTAGTATTATATGAATAACTTGAAATTAATTCATTAATCATTATCAAATGTTCATCAAGTATAGCTTCTATATTACGATTTAATGGTGATTGTTGTTCTTGTTCATTTTGTGATGATTGTAAAATTGTTTGTTGTTCTATTTTACTACATGAATTTCTACGATCACGTGTAGCAGCTGCAAATCCACTAAGATTACGACGATGAGATATACGTTTTCGATGACCATGAACTGTAGATGGAAGTGCTGTTGTGACATTTGATAAATTTTTTGTTAAAGATTTTGTATTTATTAATGAAGGTGTTGCACTTGAATCTGAATGAGCACTACGTACAGATGAATAACTCTGAGTCATTGGATCAATATTTGGTAATTGTGAAGGACATATATTGGAATGCTCATTTGAACTTGAATAAGCATGTGTAGAAGTCTTTAATGTGTTATCTGGTTCATTACGTGATACAGGATTAAGTACATTATTCGAATGAAATGATGAACAAAACTATAGGAAATATCTTATTATTTAAATTTGATTCTAGTAAATTTGGGAAGACCTGTAAAAACTATAGACACTCACGAACACTGCACACGCTACATAGTGTGATAGAGTTCGCGACAGACATTACACAGACACCTGTCGACATTCAGAGACGTCGATTCTACTTCTCACTTTTCCGTTTTGACTAGACCTCATCGGATCCAAGAATTTTCAGATCTGGCTGGTAAAATTTTTTTGGATCCAGAACTGGACCCGATGGGCTCCAGTTTCGACCGAACATGTGTTTGCACTTGAATACGAACACTCATGAATACTTAGATTGTTAAATGTGAAACAGTTTTGCTGAAGAAACATAGTGGTTAATAGGAGAAGAAAGTTACCAACTAACTGAAAATTCGTGAATTTGATTCTTTTATCAAGAAATGACTGTTAGAGGACATTCATGATGTTTTATAAAGGTTGTCAGAGTCTCGAAATTGTATACTTGATTTTGCCGTCAAGTTTCTTCGATTCAAAAATAATTGATCAAATTTTATAAGAAATCTTGATTTTCTTTCAACAGTCATTTCTTGATGAAGAAAGCAAATCCATAAATTTTCTGTTATCCTGTTACTGGTAACTTCTCATCCCTAGTGGTTAGCGATTCTTGAATTAGTCTGTAGATTACATCTATCGCAGATAGTCTCATCTCAATAACCAAGTAGTATGTTGACTTAATGTTTAATCGTTAAACTGCAAAAATAGCATTGGCTATATACTAATACTCACGATTATGCGATAACGTATTCGTAGGTTTGAAGAATGATAATCTACTATTCAGTGAAACCTTGACAGTAGTTCGAGTAGATTGTGGAATATTTGTATGCATCAGGAAAATCTCGAAAAATGCTCCGTTTTCAGTCATTTTCTGTGCATTTTTTTCCTGATGAATACAAATTGAGAAGAAAATATGGTGACAAAGCTCAATCACTTCTCATAATTATTGATGATATTCAAATAGAATTTTGTTTTTTACAAAGATATATTCGTATTTAAGTGTAAACGCATATTCAGTCGGAGTAGAAAAGTGTTACACAAAATTAATGTCTACAGATGTCCATGTCCATTCGAAACAAGTATTTCGAATGAAAAATTTTAAAAGCATAGGCAAGAATTAATGTCCGTAGTTTTTTACAGGTACCTTTGAATTTATGTTTAAATTACTTCAATAAATGGATTTGTTGTTGATTTTTGATGTTGTTGTGGTTGTTGTTGTTGTTGTTTTGAAGGACTAAATGATTTTCGATGTCCAGAAGTAGATTGATAATTAATTGTTGGTCTTTTTTCAAGTAACCACATTAATTGTTTTAAAATATCTCGTTTTCTATCACGATGTCCTTTTTTTGTATCCTTATCAATTTGTAAAGCTTCAATTTTCTTATTAAAATAATTCATTTCATTATCACTTGATGATGATAAACTTTTTGTACTAGGTGTTTCAGCTGATGTTGATGATGCTGAACGAATTCGTCGTTGTTGATGATGTATAGGCTTTTCATTAGTTGTTTCATCCTCATTTGTACTTATTGTTCGAGGTTGATCAGATGAATGTGTATCTAAATTTGTTGATTCAATACCACTTTGATCCGATGAAGGATTAGAATTCGATGATGGAAGAGCTACAAAATTCATATTATGAGAATAATGTGAATGACTTTGTGATGAAGATGTATGTGTATTAGATGGTGAAAGAAAAACATTATCAGATATACATGATGATTGTCTTGTTGTATCATCAAACGAAGGATAAGCACCAGTAGGCATTGAAAGAGACATTCTAAATTGTTTACGAAGAATTTGAGCATGTAATGATGGTGGTTGTAGAGTTGTTATATATGATTGTGAACGTTGAAACGAAGGTGTTCTAGGTTTATTTGTATTCCATGAAATATGTCGTCGTCGATGTGATACTAATGGTTTACGATTCGTTTCAAATGAAACAGTTGCATGAAAAGAAACATTAGGTGTTTTTTTTTGACTTTCTTGAGTAGTTAGTGATTGATTCTGAAATTTAATTTGTTTTTCTTCTTCTTCCTCTTCTTCTTCTTCTGCTGATACATTTTGTAATTTTTTATCAACTTCAGAATCTTCTGAATCAGGTACAGGAAGAAATTTCGTTGACATATCTTCTGTTTCTTCTTCATTCGTTAAAATAATTAATTCATTATCATTCTGATAATGTTGATCATTTATTGGCATTGATAAACTACGTTGTATATCATTTGAAAATGAAACTTGATGTGGAGTCATTGTATCAGAATTAATTGATTGTTGTCGATCACATATTGTTGATACAGTTGAATTTCCACGACTACGTGTTATAATTGGTTCAAGTAATGTTGATGGAAGTGATGGTGATCGTTCAAGTATTGCTGATATTGATTCTGTTGTTGTTGATTGAACCCAAGCAGCTATTGATCGATTATCGAGAGGAACATATGAAGATTTTTGTTGATCAGTTGTATTTAATGATGATACAAAATTATTTAATGATGATACATCAATATTTAATGGTATTGATGAAACATCTTCTAATGATTGAGCTTCTAGTAGATTAGGATTTATTGATTCAAGAGTATTTTGTTGATCATCATCAATAGATTGAAATGGTGGTACTGATGTCATTATTGTCAAAGGATTTATTTGTGTATCAGGTATTATTGATGTATCCTCACCATCATCATTTTGTTCGGACATTGTCGAAGGCTTTTCTTTATCAATATTTGAATCCATCTAGAGATATAGGATTTTTTTGTTTTTATTTTTTAAAACAAAACAATAAGTAATTAGAATTTTTTTTTATTTATTGAATACAAATATACGAAAAAAAAAAAAGAATTATCTACAGTTCATATCGATTAATAAATGGTTAATAAAAGTACACATAAGAAATATGACGACAATTTGTTAACCAAGCAATAAAAACGATCAAGATCATAACTACCAGATAGAAATGTTCTACATTTACATTAAAAAAAATTAAAACATATTTTTTTTTCTAAAACTTTCCAATTAATATTTATAACTTATCATACTCATACTATTAACTACAATTTTACTGACACTAGTAGGAGTGCTAATTTATCTTTAGTTTATAAAATAAATATAAAATAAAGGATAAAGAAAGATTTCTTTTTATGATCGCTAAATAGATAAATATCTATTGTTGTTTTCAAAAAGCAATAGCCCTGACTATTTTTTGAATAACTTTTGATAGAAACAACGTAGAGACCTGGGGTTTTCATCATTTCAGAGAGAAAACTCTAGGTTATATGAATATATATGTCAAAATATGATTAGTCAGTTTTTTTTACCAGTCAGATGAGTTTTCTGAGGAGATTGGGATGAAAAAAGATATTCTGAAGCCATTTTCGATTGAATTTTGACTTGGAATATAACCAATCGATAGGAAAAATTCTTTTCTCTCTCGATCTATATAAGTCTCAACTTTCTAGCATGTTTCATTTAGGACATACAAGGATTTCCCCGAGACTCTCGATTTTAGCAAACTGGCTTTAGACGACTTCAATAGAGATGCTTGATCCTGCTGCGTCGAATGTTTCAAAGCAATATGAAACCACTTTTCAGGTAGCTTTGAAACATTCGACGCAGCAGGATGAATTATCTCTTTTGGAATCTTTCAAGGCCAATTTGCTGAAATTGGGGATCTCGAAGAAATCCTTGTATATCTTGAATAGAACATGCTAAAAAGTTAGGACGTGTATATATCGAAGGAGAAAGATTTTTCCTATTGATTGGTCATATTTTAAGTCAAAATCCAATGAGAAATGGCTTTAGAATATCTTTTTTTTAAAGTACCCGTAGAAAATTTACCTGATTGGCCAAATGTTTATCAATCAGATTTCGACATACGTGGATGATCTAGGGTGTTATCTTTTGAATGATGAAAATTTCAGGTCTCTATGTTGTTCCTATTAAAAGTTATTCGAAAAATAGTCAGATCCATTGCTTTTTTTGAAAACGACGATATTATAACAACAGGATATGTTAATCAATATTCTTTCTTATCATCAGCATTACGTCGACATACCATGTTGTTTAAAAAAATGGTGCTGATACATGAAAAAATTTTTTATGTGTACCTATGACATCATAAATTTTTCTGAGCTATTCAATAAAAATTAAGAATTAAATTCTCATTAAAAATTTCTTTATTATAAAGAGCAATAAAAATGAAGTAATATCCCTAGACTGCAGGCATTAATAAATCAACCATACTAATTTATTTTATAGAAGAAAAAAATTAAGTCAATAAAATTTATTCATTCAACCAATCGAATATATATTTTGTAATTATATGGCATATAACATGATTTAATTTCAGCTGAAAAACAACAAAAACCAATCGATTCATTGATTCGATTAGTAATTTTAGATTAGAGGTATGTAGGATAAAATTGAGTGAGGATATACATCTCTGTACTCAAGCAAGCGGAGTAAGGCTCATTTCATTGACCTTCATTCATGTTAAAGTATGAGTACACAAATTTTCAGATTTCTATCTTTTATGATGGCTAAGATCTGATTGGCGGAAAGACTTTTGCCCTGTTGTATAGATTCTGCAGAGTAGAGTGAGAATATGAAAATTTTTCTTAGATAATTTATAGAGTACGAAAAAAACTTTAATCTATCTATTTTCATTTAATTCATAAAATTTTTTTTTTCGGACATAATTTTTGATCAGTAAAAAACAAATCTATAAATTAATCAGCTTTTGATATATAAATATCAGTAAAAAAATTCAAAAGAACATTAAATAGTAATTCAAAGGATCAATGAAAAAAAAGCAGCATTAACCTTTGCTGATATTTTATTTTCTCACAAATCGGTACTAAGTAGGTGTGAGTCTTGTTTTTATTTACGCCCACACTTTGTACGACAAAACAGAAGGAATGAAAAAGAAAAATGAATAATAAATTTTCGATTTTTATACTTACCCTTTCATTTCATTTATCCTACTGATCACTTAATTGATAGTCAACTATTTTCGAATTTCATTTTCTTTTAATTATTTAACTTCATAATTAAAATTCATACATTTTAAAAGGTTTATTTATTTTTTTGATGATCCGAACATCTAGAAAAAAGAAAATTGAAATTTTCAGATTTTCTTATTTAAGAATTTCTTTATACAGGATGTATTTCATATAAAAAATAAACCTAATGATATTTTCATACTCAAACAACAATAAGATCTTTAGTTCGATCAAGGAAACTATCAAATTGAATAAACTGAACACGAATCTATCTAAAGAAAAAAAGAATTTCTTTATTCTTAACATCAAAAACAAAGAAAATTTTACTTTTGTCTAGGAGAACGTTTACTTCCCAAGAAATTCCTTCAAATAAGAAATCACTTTTCTAAGTCGAGACTACATGCATTATGTACAAGCAAAGGAGCTCTGAAAATAATTCAGGTCCATAACTCATTATTGTTAAGATATTACACGTTGACGATAGTTTTTAACTAAATGTCGTAACTAGAGTTCGACGGTTTCAAAAATTACCCAAAACCGTTAAATCAAACAGATTGATATGAAAATGTTAAATATATTTTGAGAAATTTTCATTATTAAATTCTTGAGATTAAAGACGTTACATATTTCAGTACTGAAAAACAATGTTATACATATATATATTGAAATATTTAATCTTAAGAATGAATACTTTAACATATTCATTATAATTAGTATGTAAAGCTTTTATTTGAAACTAAATTTCTATTTATTTATATATAAAAAGAAAAGTAACTTCCAACATACATTTCTTTTGTTTTTGGTATGACTCATCTTCTGTCATGATAATTTGGACTTTTTTCCGTTGAATTATAATTTTTGTCTATCTAGATTCTATAAAACATATATTTAAATATTGAAAAAGAAACTTATATAAAATTACTTTTCATTGATCTTTTCTAAGGAATCTTTCATTTCTTTTTCATTTATTAATTTATTTTCTCTGATAATGGTTCTTCTTGACTCTGAATTAGAAAAAAAAAAACATATCAAATTAATCAAAACATTTATTTAAAAACCGAACTTTAATTTTATTTTTTAAATCAATATAAATCATCATATTATCACAATATTGACGAAAAGCTTAATAAAAATAAACAAAAGTTAATATCATAAACCTATAAACAAGTTCGCAATAGGTGTACTTCTTATCAATGACTAATTTCATCATTCTCATATATAAATTATTGTTCCTTCTAAATATAGTACTAAAAAAACGAACTACGAATTAATCATTTTAAATCATAATTATGAATAGAAGAAAATTTACAAATTATTCTATTCATATTATCATCAATAGAATTTTCGAATAAATCTATAAAATAATGGATTAATTGATAACAACGATATTTAAATACAAGCACTGCATTATCGGTACTTGTCATTATTTTCATAATACAAATTATTTTAATACTAAAATACACATAATTTATCATACTGAAAACTTCCAATCGAAAAATAAAGTTTTCATAGGTACATTAACGTTGACGATAGCGGTCTCACATAAAATGCAACCAAAATATGATTGGTTGATATACTCTTTAGGTTATAGATATAACTGATAATTTTTATTGAATGCAAATATTTGACAAGATTGCATTGAATTAATTTAAAGTAAAACATTTGAATATGTTGACATAAGATAATATGAAAATAACTTATCCCGAAATGTTATCTATTATCACTTGATCACATAAATCGGGTTAGTTCGGGAGAATATATAAAATGTTCAAGTTATTACCTGTATCAAAGATATCTTTATTGTCATAATGAATTAAACCATAAAACAGTTTAGTTTCTTTTTCATATGGTACTGTAATATTTGAAATACTCTCTCATTCTTATTTATCTAGAGTGGACCTTTTTTGTTTGAAATGAAAGGTCCTCAAAATCGGTTCAAAACCATTAAGAACAAGATTTGTTTTCTGAAACGTATTTATTAATATATGATAGCATTTTTTCCTCAAGAATTCGGACGCTCTTTTCGATTTAGATCTTGACAAGTTGTTTTATCTGTTCGTTACGGTCTGCAACAGAATGAAGATCAAAAAGGATGTCATTTGCGCTTTCTTTTCACATTCACTATAACATATTTCAATTATAATTTTCTTCATTAGAAATATTGAATGAACGACACGAAGTAATTCATAAATCCCAAGGGATCTTGTAAGAGTCATCTTATTGATAATAAAGAGTCTTCCGATGAAATTTTACATCATAATATATGGCTGTTCTTCTAACAATTTTTAAATATAGAAGAAAAATATATGTTAATATACAGTAAAAATAAAACATTTTCTTTAGTACATATCAGTCGATAATGATGACGATAGATAGTCTCTAATAAATAAAAGCACTAAAATACTTCTACCGTGAAGAAGCTACATTAAATCTGTATAATGTATATTCCCGTAGGTTAATTTCGTCTTGTCTTCAACATTTATATATATATATATATATATTTTTTTTTATACAAAAAACCTATGCATGACAATAATCTTGATAGACAATGACAATTTATTATTATTTTTTTTGCCTTTTACATTCATCATTAATACATTTTCCTATCTGTTCTTCGTCATCCTATAATTTATTTTTCATCTCTTTCTAATCGTTTCGATCGATGCATTCAAATGAAGAAAAAAAAAAGATATGTCTAATGTCTTTCGAATAAATGTATGTGCTTGTCACATACACATTTTCGTTATGCTTCAATGATTTTGTTGAATAGTTGATAACGAAAGAAAAAAAAAAAGGGATGAAGAAAACGTATACGGGCATTTAAACGATTGCATAGGTCAATAAAAGTAGTATGTGTTGATTTATTTTATTTTATTTTTTTCTTCAACTAAAACATCGTTGCGATAACCACTCTTGAAGAGAATCGAACTTGTAACAAAATAAATAAAATGTGTTCATTCTCTTCTAAGTGGCCCTCGTATGATGTCCATCATCGAAAACCATCTGTTTGATTTCTCATGAAAAATAATCTGTGTTTTTTAAATGTAAAAAGCAATTTGATATCATACTTTATTTCTTTTATTGATTGAGAAAAAAATGCATACGTTGATGAATATTCTTATTTGTACTTTACTTTTTAATATTATTATTATACAAGTCCAAGGTAAAAATCAAGATTATTTAGCAAAATTTTTTGAAACGAAAAATCCTGATGATTTACATAATAATGCAAAAGACTTTCTTGTTCTTTGGCGATCTCAACAACGAGCTAGAGTAGATGGGTATGATTATCCAAATATTTTTATTTTGTTTAATTTCTTTTTTTTTTATTTATTTTCATTTAAGACATTGGTGTTGCGCTGTAGTTCCACCTACAATTCCTATTTTCTCCAATACTGGTCATCTTTTACAGTAAAAAGAAAATCCAATTCGAATACATATATATGTTTAATTCTATTTATTTAAAATTTAGTTACCAACCACAACCATGTCCTGATACACATATGGTCTGTTGTAAAGGATATATAAATATTCAAGGTCAATGTTTTTCTTTTGATGAAATAAAAGATATTCTTCCAGCATGGCAAACACTTTTTCAAACATTCGGTTCATCAATGACAGTAGAACAGATTCTTGGTACTGTTCATCAAGTTGGTTAAAAAAAAAAGGATCTTTTTTTTTCTCTTTTATCAAAATAAAAGAAAAATAAAATCGAAAATTATTTTTTATTTTCATATTTAAAACATTGCATTTAAAACTTAAGTTTGTCTAGGAAATATATCTAATTGTTGATCATCAATATCATCATGATTTATATGAGGACTTATTATTGTTGGTCTTCTAGAATAATCAAATAAATCTACTTTATAATTAGGTTTTTTATAATGACAAATAAATTTTTGAAATTCTTGTCGAAATATTGGTCCCGTTAATGTATAAACATAAAAATGTGATGCATGATGTATTTGATGTAAAAGAATAAATATTGTTGTACTTATCCATAATTGACATGCATATTTAATTTGAAATTGTTGACTTAAATGTGTACGTATAAAATCATTAATTTCTGATGGTAATGATAAAACAATAAATAATATTGATGTTAATAAAAGAAAAAAGGTTAATTGTCGATCTTTTTCTTGACGAATACGTCGTTGTAGTGTTGAAGCTCTTCGTAATAAACTTTTCTTTCGTGTTAATGTTGATATAATAAATATATTACAAATAAATATGATTACAAATGGAATTAATACTGTTTTAATTATATCAATATATGAATCATAATGATGAACATAAAATTCTATATATTTCATAGATGATGGCAAACATAAACCACTCTGATCAACATGAAATCCATAAAGAAAATGACTATTAATTAAACTAAACAAAATAACAACAATTGCTATAAGTAATTTTGCTGTTGATGCTCGACAAAAACGATGTACTGTTCTATATGATATTAATATACAACGATCAATGGCAGCTAATGTAAGAAGATAATTTGATATATCTGTTGAGGCATAAATAAGAAAAATAATCGATTTACACATAAATGCACTTGATAAAAATTGTATTCCATAACCATGAAAAAGTAAATTTTCTAATGTATAACCAATTAATACACATATGTCACTTAAATTTAATACCAAAAAATATATTGAACATGAACGAGAACGAAGTGCTTTTCGACTAAATACAAGAATTGATAAAAAATTACCAATAAAACCAAGTATAATTGTCAATGTTCCTGCATATCTAAGCAAAGATGCTGTATCAAATATACAATAAGTTGTATAATTAATTGAAGCATTTTCCCAAGAATACATAATCAATATTGCCGATCGATTTAACATAGACATTAGTAATCAATATAAAAAAAAGTGTTAAATATCTTGTACTGCTATACTATGAAATAAAATTAAAAAAAAAATAAAATAAAATAAATGAAACATGTCTGGTTTTAGTTTACAATAAATCACTAATTAAAATCTACGTCGTAAAAAAACAACGTTATTTTATTTATATATATATAAATAAAATAGAAAAACAATGTTATGTGTATGTTAAAACGATGGTAATTTATAGATTTTTCCTTCTACTTATATTATTCTTACGAATATCTTTGTACTCGCCAATACATCATTTTATGACAATGATCATATTGTATGTGCCACAAAAAATAACATGAATTCATAGTTATATTTATCATTTTTCATTAAGAAGCATATTTAGTCAAGAGATAGCATAAAAATAAAAATCAACGATTGATACTTGTCACAACTATAAGTACATTCGCGAATAGAATAACTCATATAAAACAACAAAATCAAGAGTAATAACAATCATAGAAATATGGATCTTATACTTCATCGTAATACTTTGTGACTGAACTCTATATTTAGAAGTCAAAACATGCACTATATTTGTTGACGTCATCAACTTATTCATGCCATTAATGAAGATCTGATCTCTCTTTTGTGTAGAAAGTTCAATGAACACTCTCCTAAGAATTAAGATAAAATTAATATGTTTTATGTGTAAAAAAAAAATATCATACTTAAAGTCATACTAACTTATAACTAGCTTTGAAGAGCTTAAAATTTTCTTCATTAGTTTTGAAATGAAAAAAACATTTTATTATAAATGAATACTTTCAGAAAATTTACAACTATAACATTCTTCTAAGTTTTCATATCTTTGATTTCAATAGAAAGTTTATATCATAAATCAATATAAGAAACTAAAAAATATCTTTCATATTTCTCATCAAAATCATATAAAATAAATGAACTTCATGTTTCTCTTGTATATACATTCTTACCTTTCCTAACTGCAAGCAACGAAGAAAAAAAAAAAAGAAATAAATTTTGATTCTAAAAGAAATATTCAACGATTGAAGTAACTTTTATCAAGAATATGTCACTACAGATGAAAGAATTCTACTAAACATTATGATCAAAATAGGTTGACAGCCGACAAATAGTTTCTTTTTCTTTCCTATAATCTATTTATAACTGACACTTGCTTAGTTATTTTCATCACTACTAACAATTCACTATGAAATGAACTAATAGTATTTATATGTTATGCGAAAAATAGTTATTGAAAAGTAAACCAAAATATTCTATCAAATTTTTTATATTTCATGTTTTCTAACATATGCGCCTACACATTCATTCAAAAATATTTTTTCCTCTTCACGGAAGATTCTGACATGTTATCATTTCCGCTATGCATACATGTTGTATGCTCTTTTTTTTGAGACACAATTCTTATTGCTGATTCAAATAAAAACATCGATGTTTTCGTCAGAACAAAAACAAAATAATGAGTTTGTAATTATTTTTTTCCACCTGACTGATACTGTCAAATATTTGGAACATTTCTTGTTTACTTTTTATATCCTGGTTCCATATTTTTATAACATTATCAAAGAAATATTTTAGAACAATTAGAAATATAAATAAAATAATCGTATGAGCATAAGAATCATTAAATAGAATACTAGTAGTTACTATATATAGTTATAAGTATTTTGTTTAATAAGAAATAAATATATTGAAGAAAATATTTGGTCTCTCTTGGGTCTTTTAAGTGAGTTGTGAATCATATTCTAATGAGACATGACATCAATGTTTATTTTCTATATATAGCTTGATAAATAGACTTATTTGTAGATCAAGATGAACTTGTACTCTTATTTTTCAGTTCGTTGTGAATACGATCTTAACTCCTTCATAATAGATGATATCATCATTAAAATCTTATTAGAATTCTATAAAATATAGATTTTAAATGATGCTAATTTATTAAAGAATGTCGATATTGATGAATATAACAAGAAAACAATCATTTTCTAATGATAAGATTCGATTAGAGATAAGAAAAAACAAACTAACAAGTGCTGTTATAAAGAAGAAAAAAAAAGCAATTTTTCTTTATATCCAATCACAATAGAAATAATTTACTAGCTACAAAAAAATGAAACTAATTATGATAAAAATCTGTTTTATTGTTACTTTAAGAATTTCTAATCAGTTATTAGATCTAACATATTGTGGATTTAGTTTCATCATTTTCTTTTCTTAGACATGATAATAAACTAATAATAATTTATTATAATTATAGAGAATATTGAATGAACCAGTCGAAATCGACTAAATCATCGGATCATATTGTGAAACTTTTGTATGAACAAACGAAAAAAAACAAGAATTTTAAATATTCAAGTCTATGATAATTTATAGATATAATTATTATTACGCTATGAAATTGTATTTATTGTTAATCTTCTAATTCTTCAGAAGACTAAACAATCAATAATCTCATTCAAATATGAGATTTTGAAGATCTCTAAAAGACTTTCGATCAGCAAAATCAAATACGACTATTGAAATTTGTTCTTTTCCATGAACATATAATACTTATATCCGACTTTCAGAAACGAATAAAATGAACGTGCTAGTAGAGAACTAACTTTAATGGTCTTTCAGTCTCATACATCAAATTGTACGGCCTAAATCTAAAAAATATGAGTACAAATTCGTCTTACATGCATTCCACTACCTATATATTCTTTCACTTAATTAACGAGTGAAGGTTCCCAAGTGATAAATCTCGTTTCATTTGGAACTATATTCAATCTATAGAGTCTAGCAGGTAAGTGAATATCCTAGAGTGATTCGAGTTGTTGGACTTTTGTTTCTAAGATTTCAAACGTCTAGTAGATTTTTCTTGTAGGACCCTAGTTTTCAAGCGAAATTATACTTTTTGAATTTTGACTTGAAGCTTAGCTAAAAGAAAGGTATCAATTCGATTAGATTGTAGAAAAAATTTTAGAATTTTTCACTAAATCTCTTCAAGATATGTTCGCTTAAAAACAGGAAAAATCCACTAAACATTAGAATTCTTAGAAATAAATACCCAGCAACTCGAACTACTCTAATATATTTAATGACTCATTAGATCTTATCGATTAATTACAGTCTTAACTCGAAAGTAATTTATCACTAAATTATTCTTACTACAAATATAATTACTTTATAATGACATCTATTGAAATTATTATTTAGATAAGACTTTTAGATTTTTATACTTGACAATTACTACTAACAACAGTAAGAGAAATGGCTGACACGTCAAAGTGAATCATTGATGTTGGCAAACATAGACGTCCTTTTGCTTTATTTTTCTCTTGTTATTTGAATTTTAATTATTGAATAATGTCGGCAAAACGCGGAAAAAAAGGAAAATCCGTAAATATTCTTTAATATTCTCTATAAATTATTTTGTTATGATCTATCAATTAATTTGTTTCTTCATGTTTTCTAGCAACTTTATAGCCATATTGCTTCAGCTATAATACCAGTAACAAGTATTGTTGCTGTTCCATCAGCTGTTCAACAATTTCCACAACAAAAAACACGCGCCACTGACGAATGGGGTCCAATAGCATCTACTCTTCTACGTGCTTCCCTTACCAGTCAAATACTTATTCCATTATCATCATCGAGAACTTCTTTAGATCAATATGTTGAAGATGATATTCAACCAACTAAAACACGAACACCTGTGGGACGTATGGATGCAAGTACAGATGATGAAGACGAAAGGTAAGCAAATGATTAATATCTTTGATATTATTTTTTTTTGTTTTGTTAATATCTCATCTATCAATATATAGTGATGAAGAAAAAGATGAACGAAAATATCAAGAATCACTTCATGCATCTACTGTTAGAAGTGTATGAAAGTTATTTATTGTACAGAATCATCCATAAATAACAAGACGATACAAAAATAAAAAGGAATCCATCTTGTGTAAAATTAATACTATTGAGTTCACTAAAAACATACATTATAGTGTCTTACCTTGTAAAATTCTTAGCTTATATACTATATTAGAATAAGTTTAATACACTTATAACTTGATCAACTTATCAATATATAGTCCTTGAAAATAACTATTTACGCTATATGATTCATTGAGTTTCATTGAAGCGTTCATAAGTAGCGGATATTCTATCATAATGATAGGTTGATCAAATTGTCAGTTCCTTCCTTTCTTAAGTTATAGAATTCATAATGAGAAGATCTATTATACATAGTAACTTCTCTTCAAATCAAACAAATGAGACCGAGTAGATTTCATTGATTTAAATTCTTAATGTATAATCTTAAGAACGGCTGAGAATACTTATGATCAGTAGTGTATGTCTTTATTGAGCTCAATAACGATAATTCAAAATAGTATGTATTTATGGTTTCCTTGTGAATAAAAACTTTGAAGAATTCTCCTACCTATTGAATAATGAAGGTTAGTAGCATCAAGTGTTTTTATTGTCAAGTTATTTATGGACTATTCTGTATGTTTAGTATTAAATTTTCAATTAAATATTTTTTTTTGTTTCAAGAGTATTTCTCGAGTACCATCATTATCTAATGCTGAAAAACGTGTTTTCGGACATGTAGTCCATGATGAAGGTAATCTATATATGATAAAATTTAATAAAGTTTTATCTTGTATAATATATTTCTCAAGAATCAGCATCAACAATAGCTGATGATGATCTTAGTTCAAAAATTCATTCAGATCGAAAACAAACACCTAATGCTGAATTATCACGATCACGATCACGATCACCAACAACAACATCTACTACTACGACAGATGTATGTTTATATTCAATTGAAATATAAATAAATTGGTCAAATTTTGTTGTTTTTTTATTGAATAGGACAAAAATTTAAAACGAGCATCAGTTACTATTGTACGACAACATGTACCTCCATTAGTTCTAAATCCTTCACCCAGTCAATTAGGTCCGTCGTCAGCAAAACCTATTGTTCAAAAAGATGTAAGTTCATCAATATGTTAATTAAAATTCTATGAATTATTATAACAACAAATTCTTATTGCTTTTTTTTCTGTGGAATTTACAGATATTTTCGAAAAAAAAAACTAGTATGTATAAGTTTAAATCGAGATTTTTATGGCTTCCTCTAGGCTCTAGGAACCGAAGGTAGGAGGCAACGACCATTGCGTACATTTTCCTAGCAATGGAAAAAGGTACGTCAGTAATAAAAGTGTTTAGATCATTCTGGAACTTCACAGAATCCTTCAAAGCATTCTATGAATCAAAGATTTCTTCTGTAAATTTCATATACGTCAAACTTGAAAGTTAAAAGCAATTTAAGTTTCAAATAAACACAGCCAGTCTCTTGATGTGAATGTCGCAGAGGTACACACATACACAGCATCTCTCTCGGTGTGGGTGCAACAGATTGAAACCCGAGAATCGAAATTTGAAACCTCAAAAATTTCTTGTTCTGATGAATTCAACTTTCAAATTTGATATGTTCTCGTAGATTCTAACTAATAATCTAAATATTGCAAGGTTTAGTATGTATTGCAGCGAAAGATTTACTGATTCCTATGGCTTGTATCATATATATTATCATCATGAGAAAAAAAGTTGTGTATTGAAAATATATCTGACAATACAAATAAGTTTTTTTTCAATCTAATGATTTTAAATGAATCTAATAAATTGGTAGAATACTAATTCTAAATATAAATATTTTCAAAATGATGGTATTTTTTTAGAGCGTATGTATTCACACTTTAGCCTCTCATGAAACCGCACTGATAAAAATTTTTCATTTGATTTCCCTTTATGAAAACATCTATTTTATTTCAAGAGTATTGGTGATGAGGCTAAATCAACTACAACAACAACAACAACAGCACGTTCATCTCTTAATGATTCAACAGCAATACCAGTTAGTATTCGATCTGTTTCATTTAAAGAACCTGTTGCTCATGAAACATATGATCCAACATTATCAGTATCACAAAAAACAAATACTGTAATAACTAATAATAATTATTCTGTATTGGATAAAATTGGTATATATTGATTTTATTTATTTAAATAAAAAATCTTTTTTAATTATTCTATATTGAATAGTTATTCCACCACCAGAAGAATATCAACATAATTTTAATGATCTTGAAAAACGTAATCGATTATTAATTGATGAAGTTCAACAATTACGAAAAGTTAATCAAGTAAAATATAATTTCTAGATATAATTAATTGATTTTCTTTATTCTTATATTGAATAAAAATTATTTAGAATTTACAAACACAACAAGAAGAATTACTTAATCGTTTACAAACATCACAAAAGTTATCACAACGAGAGTTAAATGATCTTTTAAAACAAGCTGGACGTGGTAAATAACTCTGTCAGATTACGTTACCAATCTCAGAATTGAGAAAACAAATTTATCATGTTGTAGAACAAGTCGAATAGTAGGTAATAAATCTTATTTTTATAGGACTGTGAAGGAATTAGAGTTAACTTATTGATAGACGGCTATGCATCCAATGTAGGGATGTACCGAGACCGAGACTCTCGGTCTCGGCACATTCCTAATCTAAAGCATGATCAGTTATTACTGCTAATTGTACTCGGTCAGACCAAAATGTGTATAAAAAATTTTCCTATATGCAGTTTTGTAAAATTTTTCACAGGCAATAAGTTTATAAACTTAACATCTTCGATCGTTCTATATTTGACAAGAAAAAATGTGATTTTTAAATAATTTACCATCATTTTTCACTAATGATGCGTTTCCGTATCGATTATAGAAGATGTGATCAGACGCCAGACTCTCTGAGAAGTTGCCCGCAATGTACGACTACAAAACATGCTATTTGAAAGTTCTCCAAAATGAATGCGTGATGTCCGAAATTATCTTGCATTGAGAAATCTCCGAAAATTTTTACCTGATTTTTCGTATTTGAATACTGTATTTCGACATTTTGGCTAGAATCCGTCGGAATGAGTACCAATCTGACGGGCTCTAGTCAAAATGTTGAAGTACAGTATTAAAAAAGAGAAAATTGATCTAAAAATTGGTGAATATTTTCCCATACATCATGTATTCATCTTAGAGAACTTCTTAATAGTCTGTTTCGTAGTGCTATATTGGGAGAAATTTCTTAGAAAGTTTGGCGTCTGATCACATCTTCTATGATTCACACTATTGAAGACACGGAGACTCATTATTGAAAGATCGAAAATTTTCCTATCAAAGATAGAATGATCAGAGGTAAACTGTATATAAGAAAAACTTTTTTTACAAACACTTTCGACTGATACTAAGAACCACAATGATCAATACTTGATCATACTTTGGATGCATAGTCATCTATGGGTCTACTAACTCGAGTTTCTTTAAAGTCTTCTGAAAAATAAGATTTACTATATACTAATTCGACTTGTTCTACAATATGATAAATTAGCTTTCTCAATTCTAAATAGATTCTCTAATTCCACTGAGTCCATTTCTCTTATTTCATTTTTTTTTTATTTATTTCTCTAATAAGATCAAACAAAAGATCTAGAAAATTTAAATAAAACATTACAAAATCGATGTGATCAATTACAAAATGAATTAATTTTAATGAGAGAACGATATGCACAAGGTTAATAATTCTAATCAATAGAATATATTTTCTTTTTTTTCATTACACTTTATTATAGATCAAAGTCAATCAAGTACACAAGAACTTAAAAAAGAAAATCATTTTCTTAAAGATTATATTCATCGTTTAACTGTTGCTTCTAGTGAATATCAAACAATGCATCCACCAAATGTTTTAAAAAATGATATGGACGTATGTAAAAAACATTTATTTCCTTGATTAGATCACTTAATGTACAGTCATTTGATTAATTGAGTTTATCAATTTGAATGTTGCCTAGTACTAGCATTCATAGAATAAACTGAATAATAAAAAAGAAAATATTTTCACCAATTGTATTCAACAAAAATTTTATCGATAAAAATAGTTTCCAATCGTTCATGGTTGTCTATATACTTCAAGAAACACGCTTGGACAAATACTCGATACTGTTTAAACTGATTGGATAGTTTCCGAATTTGAATCGTTCATCTCCAATATTGAATCACAATTTGAGTTCGGTTCATACCTATTCAATAGTATAATCAAGATAATGATGTTTTGAATAATAAAAAAACCATTCAAAACATATTTTCAACAAATATCTTAGAATAAATTCATTGTGTATAACTAAACATGACGGTTAATCCAAATACTCTGGAAAAAAATTTGATTAACTCTAACTTATATGATTTTATTTCTAAAAATCAATGATTTTTGCTATGATCTAAGTAAGATGTAAAGGTTTGTAGAAAAGAATATAGCATTATGCAGGCATTAGTTCCTATCGAATTAGGAAAATTTTCGATTGAATCCGATCAACTCAACTTTTTTTTTTAATATTCGAATCTGCTTAACAGAAAAATGTCGAAACCATCCCTAGCCGATACTTCCATTAAACATACAAGACAAAATGGATAAAATTTTATCTTGAGAAATTTCCATTCATTCACTTACTTAATATTACTATTCCATTGGAATTATTCTAGACTTGAATTTAAATCTAAACTAGAGCTCTGCGAAATAGTCTCTAAACACCCAATTAGTCCCGCAGGACTTTAGTTGAACGAGAGATCTTTATGTTTTTTTTTTGACCAACGGAACAAACGAGATTTGGAGCTGGAGCCCATAGGGCTCTAATTTAAACAGTGGACTTATCATTCTTCAATTATCTTTTTTGTTTAACTATTGTTTTTAATTATTATCTTATCAATAAAGAACAATGTTTAATATTTAATATAATAATTATTTGATTTATAGAAAGAACAACGAAATTTAAAAGCATTACCAATGAAAGGACCATCACCAATATGGCTCGTATGTTTATTATAATTTTCTTTTGTTATAATTTACATTGATTTGTTTTTTTTTTCCTAGCTTAATCAAAAATTTCTTGCACCATTATTTGTTTGTTATGATGAAAAATTATATGAAAGAGAAGAATTTATTAGAAAACTTCAGGTAAAATAATTAATAAATAAAGAAAATTCGATATAAAATATTTTCATAATAGACTCAACTTAATGAATTACAAGATCAAGTTAAATTAATAAGTAATGAAAATCTATCATTACATGAACGAATTATTCGTACATCATCAACACCATCAACACCAATAAATCAAAGTCCTACATATATAATTGATATGTAAGAACATGTTTTTTTTTCCTTCATATGTAAAATATAATTTTTATTGTTTGTTTTTGTTTTAGTGAAAATATTAAACGACAAGCTTATCTTGTCTTAGAAGAAAATAAAATTCTTCAAGAACATCTTAATTTACAAACAAATAAATTAACTGATATACAAAAAGCACAAATTCAAGAAGGTAAAAATTTATTATTTCATACAAAATAAAATAAATTTCATTTCTTTTAATTAGTATCTGATTTAACACGACGTTTAATGATTATTGAAAGTGAAAAAACAGAAGCAGATCGATTACTTGAAACAATGCGAATAAAAAATGAAGAATTAAGAAAAAATTATGAAAAATTAATTATGGATAATGATCATCGAATACATGTTGATGATCATGTTAGAGAAATTAGTGAAATGAAACGATTAACAGGTTACATTGATTTATTTAATTTTTCTTTTTTTTTTATATTATTAATTTTTCTTATATAATAGATGAATTAAGTAAAAAACATGCCAGTGAAATGCAATTACTTCTTCGTCGAGTTCAGGTACAATGATCAAATATAATTCTAACATAGACTTTTATATTATCAAATAGATTAATTAAGAAACATACAAATTTATAATGACAAAGAAAAAAAAAAGGATTATGAAATTTGATTATATTCAATCGTATTATTTTATTCAATTAATTTTAAGAGAGTAATTCAATATCGAGAACTGATAGATTTTGATGAAAATCAACGTACTAAAAATAATTTAAGATGACAATATCATGCGTATATTTTATATGAAGGAAATAATTGCAAGAAAAAAAAGAAAGAAATTGATTATCTTCCAAAAAACGGTTGAAAACAAACATCAATAGATCAGTAAATGAGAAATAAAAGATTCCATAGTCACTTTTTATTTTCATGTAATAAAAAAAAAGGTGCGTCTCTTAAGCAAGTTAAATAATTCACTGTATCATCTGACTATCAATTATGATTAATAAATTATCGAAAATTAATTTGACAAAATATATATGTTCACTTTTCAGTCTGCAGAAATTCGAAAACATTGAGTTGGAATCAAAATTAAAGGCGATATTGTTCTCTTCAAAGTTATATAAAAATCACGAGCTTCAGAACAATCATTCAGGAATGTATTTTGCTAATCTGTTTTCCATAGAAATCAAGAAAATTTTTCAAATTATCACAGTGTATCTTACCAAAATACTTACTGTTGACAAATGACTTCGAGTAAACTAATTATTCGTATACCATTTTATAGAAAAATGTTTGTTTTTTCATTTTCTATATTTGAAACCATTTTTGCTTAGGTTCTTGTGTGTTGAAGCTCGTCCAAATTTAATTTACGTCCATAGAATAATTGATGTTCTTGAAATTCATTGACGAAAACCGACATTTTAATCAAGCAAATTGATTTTTTTTAAACTTCCTGGTTGGACCTCAGAAATATTAATTCATACCTCTTAAATAATAAGTCCTATAGAGATTTCGGAGTCATATTCAAAAAGTACACAAAGTTCCATTACTAACCCAATATTCTCAAATTTCTGCAGACTAAAACATGAATAAATATTTTGTCAAATTACTTATCGATAACCCTTTATTAAATGTTCAGAGTATCAATGGTATACTTATTCATTGAGATTAAGTGAAAACTTTGAGAGTTAAATACTAAAATTAATGAAGTCTATTCCATGTTTATTGATAAGAACATCTCATTATACTTATTATTGTTGTCTATTTCAACTCATAAAATAAAATTTTCTAAAAGAAAGTTTATTATTTGTATGTCATATAGAGTTCTGTGATTTCAAAAAGTACCCGGACCATGCTTCCGATTCCGGTTCCGATTACTCAAAAGATTCCGGTTCAGTTCTCAAAATATTACGTCGAATTGAAATCATTACATCATCAGAGAAATACGAACATTTTAAATCTATTTTGAAAAATTTCCACTATTGAATTATTGAGATTAAAGACACTACATATTTCAGCACTTAAAAAAAAACAATATTATACGTATATACTGAAATCTTTAATTTCAAGAATGAAAAAAATGAAGATTTCTCGATATAGATATACAAATTTTTGTATTCATCTGATAATTTTTCTTAAAACCGGCGAAATCTAATGCCGAGTAATCTTTTGAAATCTTTGATTAGAATTTCGTGAATAAATCGATTGTCTAGATGAAATATTATCAAAAAAATATTAGTATATATTAATATTGATTACAGTTTTTGTTTAGTTAATTTCAATATTTATTCTATTTTTTTTTTAAACTATTTATTTTATTTAAAAAAAAAAACAAGGATGCTGAAACTGCTAAACGAGTAGCTCAATTAACATTAACGGAATGTCGTAATAATATTGAACGTTTAAAAAATGATATACATTCAACAAAAAAATTAAATCGAAAATTACTGTTACGTGTAGAAACATTTGGAAAAAAACTTGAATTACAACAAATAAAAGAACAACGAACAACAACAATGCTTGATAAAGCTAATGAAGAAATTGAAAAATATAAATTAGAACAAGAAACTTATTTCACATCAGTAAATAATTTTTTTTTTTTTTTTGTCTTTTTGTTATATTTAAAATCTATGATTTTATATTTACAAATATGTACTTTAAAGGCTAGAACAAAAGACGAAGAAGTCAATCAAACAAAAATACGAATGCAAGAAGAAACAAAAAAAATAATAAAACTTGAAAATCTTCTCGAAGATTTTAAAAATGAAAGTAAAGAACATGTTAATGAAGTACAAGAACAGTAAGTTAATTATAAAGATTTATACATACACTAATTTTTATATTACATTAAAATAGAATGAAAAAACAATATGATAATTTAAAATTACGTTATTCAGAACATGAAGAACGTATTCGACAACTTCTTGCTTTATTAAACGAAAAAGAAATAGTTATCGATGACTTAAGTTCAGAAAGACGGTATATATATATATTTAATGTAGAAACTTATTAACTTTTCTTTTTAGTAATCTTGAAGTCGATCTTGATGCTATCTGGCGAACAACAAATGCTGATAATATACGCATGCGACAACAATTACTTGACATGCATGCAATGAGTTAGTTCAATATATGCAATGGTTTCTTGTAATACAATGATAATAATTAACAATGATTTATGGTGATCTATATTTTTATATATATAATAAATAGTTATAATATTTTCCATTCTTTTCTTATTATTCAAAGTATGTATAGTAAAAACAAGATATATATATATATATTTATTTATTTATTTATTTATATTTATATGATCTATTCATATTTTCTTCGATAATAAATTTATTTTATTTGTTTTTTTGACATACGTTTCTCTTTTATTTCTGGTTTTTTTTTTCTCATAAAATATTTTAAGAAAAAAAAAAAAGAAAAAGGAAAAATAAATAAGAAGTTTATATATTTTTAAAATAGAATTATTTTCTTTCCATTCCATGATCAACAAGACAATCGTAAAATGGTGATAATTTGCCAAGACGTACTTGAGATTTTAAAAACCACAATGGTTTGTTTTCGCATGGATCCTCTTTGTTAAAACCTTTTTGACGATTAGGACTACCTTTAATGGATTCGCCATCATTGCCACCATTGTTATCCGGTTCCCATACATCATAATAACGCTTGTCAATACGACTGTCGTATGATGATGAGCGATGAACCACAACTGTGCAATAAAAAATGACAAATATTCAAAATTAAAGAAAAGCAATCAACTGGGAAATTAGACATATAAATCAATAGAATGAATAACAAAAGTATAATTTTATTCAAAAACATATAACCTACCAATGACGAGAAATAAGACAAGTAATACCGAAAGCACCGGTTTCATGATTGCTATGATGAAACACAGGTTATTAATCTAAAATAATAAAATATATGTATACTCATATATCATACATCATACCATAATTATTTTTGATTTATTTATCTAATAATATATGACAGATATACTTATTTCAATCTATAGTATGAAGATATTAAATAATTAAATATTCTTCATACAAGTATCAAATAACTCTTATGTATCTTTAGAAAACAAAAAAAAAAAGATTATATTTATAAAAATCTTCTCTAATACTATATAGATTCAGTGATGGTAATCAAAAGTGGAAAAAATTTTTTCTTCTTCTAATGCTTGTCAAATTCATCGCTTATATTGACATTATATTGGTGTCGAAGAAGAGAGAGAGAGAGAGAGAGAGGAAAATTGCAAACAAGAAAAAATTAGAAAAAAAGAAAATCTTGCATCTCTGCTCATACAGAAAAATCTAATCATTACTACATAGATGAAATAGGAATTATCTATCTTTCTTGTTTTATATATGTCACTGGTATGCTCGGTCTCACTTACTTCGTATAGAATCTACACGCAAATTGAAAACATTTCTTTTCTTTTCTTTTTTTCTTTTTTTTTTTTTTGTTTCTTTCTATTTTCCAATAGTTATTTTCGTTAGAATTTCTATATCTATCTTACTATTGTTTCATGTCTGAAAGAATCAATGTGATCATTATATTTTCTGTCTCTCTCACATCTTGATTGACTACGGAGATGAAAGTTATTGTCATATTTTTCTCATTTACTCTGTCGGCTCTTGTTGCTTTGCTTTTGGAGATTACATATATATATATATATACAGACAATCGAGGTTTTTGTTACTATTATGTGTTTAGATAAAAGACTAATCCTTAATGCACATAATATGAAAAGAAAGAAAAAAGGAAAATGATGTGAACTATCAAGTTGGTATCTTGAACAGACTAGTTCAGGATTGTCACTTTTCTATTCAACGAAAAAAGAAACAATAAAAGAAAAAGAAAGTAAACATACGTTCGTCTATTTAGTTAGTCTTCGTTAAAAATGTAAAAGAAACTAAATTAAAAAAAAATATATCATTACATCTATTATCATTAGATCAATTTTCTAATCGAAAAAGAAAAAGGGATAGTCATTAGTATTTTCCTTCTGGCAAAAAAAAATACTCAAGGTTCTTATCATATAAAAAGTCTATATACATACAATCAATAAATTTTTAATGCATGATCCGCAAAAAAAAAACATCTATGAAAGTATGTTACATTAACTAATCATAATTATATTTTAATATGAATGAACATGACGCTGAATCAATATAAAAAATAATAAATCAGAAAAATATGAGAAGATAGAAATTTTGTTATGAAACATCATGCAGAGTTCATAATCTTGTTATATATGCTATATAAAAAAAAATGTCTTGCATAAAGTTGACACTAGTACCTGAATGGCAAGGTTATATTAAAGTAAAAGCAATCTTTGTTTATTAATTTATTATTAATTATTCAAGAATGAATATCTTCAGTAAAAACAATTTCATATTTGTTTTGTGCGACATGAATAAGTATCTGTAGCACAAGACTAATATCACTCTCAAGAGAATCTTTTTGCGCAATAAATAACCGTTAAAAATTTCAATACCTTTCTTTCCTTTTTTTTTTTGATTAATCGCAATTGACTCTGGTGTTATGTATGCAACAAATCAGAAGAATTTCGACATTTTTGAAAAGAATTTGTCAATTTCTACAAGAATATTTATGTTTATAAAAATGTCAAATTGTTTCTTTGTAATAAAATTAATCGAAATGAACTTGACGGAATGTGTACTTTTTTTTCTATGAAGAATATTTACCGATTTTTTTTTTAATTAACAATATTTTCTTTTTGAGTTTAGAAGCTTGAGTAGGTGATATACAGACTAGCGTAGAGAACTGCATCTGAATAAAATATAGGTTTGAAACTGTTTAAATATAATATAATGTAGTTCTTCATATTGAATACGAATATTACCTTGTCGAGCTTCCAAAACAAAAAAACAAATCATCCAGTAAAAGCTAATTTCAATAAAATCGATGATGTTAATCTTGGTAGATTTCTTTTGTTGATGTAAAAATTGTTTTAAAGAAAAGGTTTAGATGTTCTTTTAATCTGCAGAATCTTCTAGAACTCGATGAGTTCTATCTAACCATGTAAAAATATTTGAGAAAAAAGTCTATTGATTTTTGCTTTTGCATGACTAGTACATTATTGTAAAGAAATATTTTGCTATATGACAGTTTGTTTATATTAATATAAATATCTCTAGTTAGTTTTGTTTTCTATCGTATTTATATTATGTATATATATACTATGTGAATTGTATTGTATGAAGAAACTTCTCTTTTTTTCTTCAGTCAAAGTATCGATTATATCTCATGCAACCTAAAAATAGATTTCTTCTCAATTGATGTTTATTATTGAGTTAGTCGATTTATGTTTGTTGTAAACATTTCTGCTTGTAATACTAGTCTATATGACCTTGATTCTATTTTTTTGGTAAATCTCTCTGGATTTATCCTTGAAAAATCAAGTATTTATTTTCCTGTAAGATTTGTCAACATAATTAATATGACTATGATTTAAATTAGGATACTATTGTATAGTAAGTCCTTGATAAAAAATTCATAAAACAAATTATATTGAAAAACAAATATATATATATGTGTATTTCCACAAGGATCAAGTAGTAGCAGCATTTGTAATATTTGTCTAACTAGATTAATATTTTTTGTTTCAACTCTTTAAATTAATTGTTATAATAATTTTAAAATATTTACGAAAAAAAATTTTTGCAAAAATAATTTATATGTAGAAAATCAATGTCTATAAATTTATGATGTTTTTCGTTGAGAATTAATCAAGGGAAAAAAAGCTGATTGCCTGATTGCTCTCTGTTTTTTCATCATTAGATAAAAAATTCAGGTTGTTTCTGAATACACTTCTCGTTGTCATCATTAAATAAGATGGCAATCATGTTTTTGACAAAGTTCAATGTCCAGGAGGGAAAGCTGATTTTCTGCTAGCCATGATTGTCAATGATTGTTAATTATTGCTTTGATTGCAATCAGCTTCCTCTCCCCCCCCCCTCCTCCCCCTGGAATCAATAGTATTCCAACAATTTTCAAATGCAAATATTTAATATCAAACAAAATTTTCCGTATGAATTACTTTCAATTGAACTGATAACAAAAAAAAAAAACAAAGAATCGATAATTTCATATGATATACAATAACGACAAAACACTTCGGTTTTAATTGCTTATCATGTTTTTGAATGTGTCTTGTTCGGTTAATTAAAAGTTTTTATTTTAACTTGAATTTTTCATAAGTTAATAATATTGAAAAAGAATTTATTTAAAGAAAAACTAAATCAACTATTGTAAAACAGTAATATATTGTGTTTAATTGAACCTTTATCAAATTGTCTTCAACTGCCATCTAGCGTCGTTTATTATAAGCTAAGTAATACCATCTATTCCATATTCAGTTGATTTAATTTAACTTGATTATTCATCTAACAAATAGTAAAAAAAATATATAAAAATTAGCATTCTTTTACAATCATTAGTAGATAATTGATAATGAATTTATTACGCCAACAAGCTGTTCGTCAGGTATTTAAAAAAGAATCACATACAATCCACATTCGAATCTTTATATATATATTTAGATTAAAACATTATTTCGTTCAATACCTGAAATTCGTCGTATTAATGATGATCAAGTAAATTTTGATGAAAAACTCTATTCATTAACACGTATCGAATCAATTCGTCATAAAGAATCAGCAATGTAAGCATTTTCGTAATTATTTAAATACTTACAAGAATTATTAAATCTTCATAATATTTATATTATAGGCCATTAGGTCGTTTTATAATTTCATTACCACAATGTCAAGCTGCTTCATTAATTGATGGTGATCTTGAATTTAATAAGAATACAAATATTCGAGCATTGGTAAATAAAAAAATCAAACATTTGAATATCTTTTTATTTTATTCTATAAGCCAATAGAACAAACAGATCAACAAGCAGTTTTAGATAAGGATGGTGGTTTACGAGTACCAGTTAATCTTTCTACATTTCTTACTGTAAAGTATCATTATTATCAAACAATTTTGTTTTTTTTTAGTCAACTGTAATTTATTATTATAGACAACTTTTAATGATCTAATCAAAATATTTCATTCGAAATTATATTATGATCAAAAACGATATCAATGGTATTTTGATGATTGGAGAAAAATACCAAAATGGACTGAAATAACTGATAAATCATTTATTGAACGAAAAACTAAAAAATGTGTTGTTGAATTTAGGTAAAAAAAGAAAACAAAATCCATGTGATTATTTGAAATTTTCGATAGAAATTTAATTTAGTTCACCAAATATTGCTAAACCTCTTCATGCAGGACATTTACGTTCGACATTACTTGGTCAATTTATTGCAAATATACATGAACGTTTTGGTCATTCAGTTTATCGTTTAAATTATCTTGGTGATTGGGGAACACAATATGGTATAAAATGAATATTTTTTCATGATTATCTTTTCTATAGACAATTCTAGGTCGTCTTGCTATTGGTTTTTTAAAATTTGGATCTTATGAAGAACTTAATAAACATCCACTTATGCATCTACTTGATGTAATTATTAAAAAGAAAAGCAAAAAACAAAATATGTAGCTTTTCATTTGATGATATTATATATTTTAGATTTATGTTCTTGCTAATAAAGATGAGTCCTTACATGAGGATGCCATGAAATATTTTGCTAAAATGGAAACAGGTAAATGATAATAGGTTAGATTTTTAAATCGAAAACATTGAATATATTCAGATCAAATTAAAAATTTCATTGACAAACTAATGAATTTAAAATATAAGCTGCTTATGATTTGTATAGATTGATGAGGAAAGTTCTCCAACTGATTAATCGCTTTTGAATTGAGACTATAAGATGAATACTCTGA